TTCTTTAATAATTACAACTGTTGGTGAAAACTGCCAATAATTACAGTATCTTTATAGTTTTAACAAACATCTGTATAGTCAAAAGTCATAGTGCATTGAAAACCGTAATACAACGTAAAAAAAGTTAAAAGACAACATAAGGTAAAACTGAAGGAAATTAAATTATTCAAAAAATAAGCTTAACTTGTAAGCTTAAAATTAGATTGTGTTACATATGGAAATCATTGTACATTGGGTGTTAATGGTTCATTTTATTTGTTATTTAATCTATTTTGTTACAGATGTTATAAAACATAAGCGTGTCCAGACCTCATTCGCAGTTCATGCACAACCGTGGAATATCCAGGGGAGAGAAAAACTACACCCCCTCCCCCGCCAATTAAAATTTCTGTTAGGGTATTGGGATATGACCCCCGAATTTAAAGATTTTAGATTAATTTTTTTAATTTAGATCAAATTTTGCAGGTCATGCCTGTGATGTTATAAAATTAAAATAATTGTATTTATTAGACATAATTTGATACAAAAAATTTTAGGTTTGTGGTAGGTAGTTTATTTATTTTGCTGATTCCTTTAATTTAATATGATGTAGTCAATTTAGTTATTTGAAAAATAAGTGGTTATTTATTTTAAATTTTTACAAAATAGTACATTTCTAAATTAATACCTAATACCTTGATGAAAAACACACACATAAACCAAATTTAACCAATACAAATAACAAAAGCACCAAGTACCTACCCATAACAACAAGAGTAAAAGATATTTTATCACTATCAATTGAATAGGTAAAAATAAATGACCAATGCCTGGTTAGTAGTTACAGGAAATACAAAAAACACTGCTAATACTATAAAATTAATAAACCAAAATCATGCCAAAGAAATAGTGTGCACAAAGTTCTATTCTTGAAAAATAAATAAAAATAAAAAAAATATAGGTATTGTAAGCGTCGGAAGTAAAAGGATTCGGAATATTGGTTATAATTATATTGGCCACTATAACATTGTTGTATATTATTGTAATTTGTTAAATACAGTCTCGATTACCTAACCATGGTTTTCATATGTTTGTGTGATCTCTTCCCACAATTAGGAAACTCGGATAATCAATGTTCTGCTATGTTCTACCGTAGGTACATGCGGACAAAATATTTTGATTTTGTATCAGCTTGGAAAATGATATAAAAAGGGTAGAAAGAGGATAAAAAGTTGGTAAAAAGTAGATACCCAATCAACAAACCATTAACAGTAAAAAAACTATTTCATTTTATGCAGTAAAAAATTCTGAAAAATCTACTAAAGATATGAATGACAATTTTCAAACTGAGAAAGGCAGATTGATGATATTATCATAGAAGAAATATTTCCAAAACATTGTGTAAGAAAAAAATGTTCACATTGATGAGAGTTTGGTCATTGGGCTCCGTAGCTGGAGGTTGGCCTGTGTGGCATACTGACATAGTACGAGATTATCCTAAATTAAGGTGTTCTATATCTCAGAGGGTATAGGTACCTACTGACAGAAGATCATAATTCATAATATAATCAAAACCCGAAGAAAAATATAGTAATTAGATGATGGGACATACATATTAATTATTATGTATAATAATATGCCGAGACACACAGCGTAATGACATGAGAACTACCTAAATACCTAATACATTATAAGTTATAATATTTATTTTATAATTTATAACTTAAATACAATATTACAATACTTACCAAATAAAATATAATACTGAAGGCGCCTAGGAACATATAGCTAAACTACCTATATAAACATAATACAAATAATTTACATACCTAGGTACCTAATTAACATATTATTATAAATCATAATGTACCTATACGCAATTAAACAATTGAGAAAAATAATAATAATCACGTAAGAATGGTCCGATCGGTGAAAACATCCAGTGAATATGAGTGGCGGCGACAGGGTAATGTCTTAACACCATAGCATTGATATGGAAAAGGTCTTAGCCAAATAGTTGGAAGACGCTTATAGAAACAGGGCAACGCGATCGACACAGCGACCAGCGACAGTCACAAACACGCGGTCGGCCGCATGAACATTGAACACATAAAACGTATATAATAATAAGACGTGAGCTTCGGCACAAAAACCACAAAATAGTTTAAATGTACAACAGTACCCAAAGGGTTCGTAATTCGGTGTACTCACACAATCATAAATTACACGATGTCGGCGGACATGGTTAGCGCGACTCGAATAGGTCGCATGGACGCCGGACGCATGACGGATAGCAATAACGGCACGTTACTCGACACTCGCAGTCGCAGAATCATAAGGTGTCTGGTGTGCAATGCGGATAAGGTCGGCGTCAACGTAAAAGGCGTTTGTAACGATATCGTTACGTACGGGATTTCTTTCAACCGTACGAGCTTTCAGAACTGAACAACCCTCCGGTTACTACTATAAAGCACACACTCCACAGGGTAAAAAGTAACGACAACGATTCTTACGCGTTGTTGGAGATTTGACAATGAGACAACTGTTGTATTTTTCACGACAACTCTACATTTGACAATAAAATCGACAGATCGCGCAAGACGCAACAACAGACAACGGTGAACGAGAGGAACAAACGCTGAAGTCGTCAAGTCGATACCCGACGCTCGAGGTACAGTCGTACAGACTACAGACGCGGCCACGCGGGTAGCGGCGACCAAATACGAAGTCTGGCTCCACTAGTCGCGCTACGATCTGTTGAGTTGTGCTGGGCGCAGGGCGCGGGGCGTGCCACCGGTTTGAAATATAACTTTTGTGAACTTTGAGAACAGGTAAGATGTGCTGAAGGTTTCTACCCTAGATTTTAATTTGTTGAAAGCTTAAATTCCTTAACATAGGCGGAGATGGGGGGGGGCTTACGGGGACTTAGCCCCCCAAAATAAATAATTTGAAGTTAAAGCCCCCCTAAATATTTAAGAAACAATATATACTCTTATACAGATTACAGAATGTTTTAGGGATAATTTATTATTATTAATATTAAATAAATACCTAGACTGTAAAAAATAAGAATTTTACATCAAATTTATATGTAAATTTGTTTTTGTTTAGATCCAAAAACTATATTTAATAATTAATAAGGACTAGTATTTCTTACTGTTGTTATTTCACGAGAAACGATAATAACTAGGCTGATGCCTGATATCATAGTGAGCTATTCCGGCTATTATATACATTGAAACAGATAAAACTAAATCGTTACTAAATGACACTATTTTAAATATATTTGAAAAAAAGTGTAATAGGTTAATACAATTAAGTTAAAAATGGCAATTGTATTTTATTCATTTTTCCTTTTTTTGTGACTTGTGAGTATTCTAATTAGTAGGTATAATAATGAGAATTTTTAATTATTTTAATGAGTTATTAAATATAAAAAAAAGTGTTGGGGGTGTGGGGGCAAAGCACCCACGGGTTTGTTTGCTACCAACTATTTTAGCCCCCTTCAATATTTCTAAGGATCTCCGCCTATGTTCCTTAAACTTCTTCAAAGAATATTTTACAAGATTAATTGCTGGACCTAGCTTGCAAAGGTTAGCAGAATTAGCAAATGCCTATTTAAAACAATCTAATAGTTTAAGAACTTGTTGCTTTTTCCAAAATATTCAAAAATGTAGTTGGAAATATTTGTAATAAAACAGCAAATAGGAATTTATTACTATAGGATTGATGTATATATATTGAATCATAATATGAACTTCATTAAAAAAATCTACCTTGACAAATGACAATATTTATCTGAATGATGACATAAATTTATGTTTACATAATGTAATGTAAGTAATGTAAATAGACATTTTTGGTAGTAATTATATTTATAAAACTGGATAGCTAAGTATTTTATATTATAAGAATCTATAGGCAAATTAATTTTTTTTAATTCTTCTGTATCTGAAGAACTTCTAGTTTTATCAAGATTATATAATATATATATTATATCACTCAAGAATGAAAAAAAACATAATTACACATGTATCCGAAGAAACCCTTACCCAGACTGAAATCAAACCTGATATTTAGATGATCAATGTTATAAAATTCAAAATACAGACAGCAAGTAAAGTAACATTGTATATTGCCTATTGTATTAAAATTTATATTCTTGTACTTAAGTATTTTACATTTCTCACAGTTATAATCATTTTTTTTTTATTTTTTTTGGAAAAAAGTATTAACTATTCAAAACAACAAGATTTGGAATGAAGTGTCATCTGTGTTGAGTCTAAAACTTGTTTTTGTAATTTATCTATCGTTTTAGATTAATATTTTTAAATCATTTTCATCATAAAAATTGTGTAAAAGAAGTATTTTATTCTTCATTCTAACAATTCTTTCTCCCATAAATTGGTCAAATTAGTTGTAAAGAATTTTTTTTATTTATTTAAGGTCTATAATTTTGGGATAAAGGAAAAGAATAAAAAAAATCTAAGTTCTAAATAAGAAGTAATAACAAATGTTTGAAAGATGAAAACATAATTGTTGTAATATATAATATGTAACTTAAAATTGTCACAAATTTGAGATATGCTAATGTGGTTTTTTAAGGAATTTTTTGAAATAATAATAATTTTTTTAAGGAAGGATGTATAACATGGAATTTAAAGGTCATCCCCAGAGACAAAAAAGTACCCATTTTAGACGGATAAAAGTACAAAATTAAATTGATGTTTTTTTTCAATTAATTAATTTAAGAAACAACATTTCAATAAAAACAAAAAAAAATCTTAGTTAAATAAATTTGTGTAACTGTCAAAATGAATATCTGTTATTATTTAATTTAATAGTTGATGGTGTAACCCATTTTTGATCATAATTCATAAAATTAGTACAATCTCTACAATGTCATAAAAATATATTTTTAATATATTAGGTGTTGACAGTTAAGATAAGGAAGACATATGATGAGTGACATTATTTCCAACCATTACCCATTTTTTCAATGTGTATCAGTAAAATAAAACTAGTTTGAATCAACTCAAATTTTATTGGAAAATCGAAAAAACAATAAATAATGGTAGTATCATATTTTTGTTTACAGAATGGATTATACCACACATAAAATACCTAAGGCTAAATGGCTGTCAAACTGCAACACCATATTCATACATTATTCACTTGAGATGATCAAACAGGTCTTTTGCAACACATTTATCAACGACTTCTAGAAAATCCCATAATTCTTCAACGCAGGTTTCGGCAGTTGCTTTTTTAGAATTTACCCGTGTGTTACACTGTTGCAGCTTGGCAAACCGTTCTTGCGCTTCTTTTTGTTCTTCGCACTTAGCCTAAAAATGCATAGAACATTGACATTACTGTCATCGGAGTGTAATATCACTAAAACTTACCCTCAAAACCTTGGCTGGATCAACCAGTTCTTCTTCGGCTCTGACTATGCCGAAAGGAGACTGCACAAGCTTGGAGAGCGTTTCTCTTATACTGGCGAACATCATTCTGTAACAAATAAAGTGTCTGTTGTCAACGACAGTGGTTCCTCGAGTTGACCTTTAAGTACGAAGTCCCTTCACAACGGAAAGGCATCAGTCACGTGTATCGTTAAACGGAAAACCGGTTTAAAAGAAAAGTACTCACTTATTTCTGCTAATTCTTGCGCGGAAAGGATATTATAAGAAGTAGGTAGGTATTTAAGTAATCGCGTAAGAACGAGGTCGGAAAAATAAATGCTCCGCGGAGTCGATCTTTCGGCTTTGAAAAGAAATCTCTGCAATCAATTTTTTAAACAGCTGAGGCCGCCCGTATTATCGGGCCCGCCGGACTCGTGGAGGAATAAACGTCAATATCATTGGCTCACTGCCCGAGCCCATAGAAGAAAATCGTAATAAACATGATAAATTTGCCGCACCGATAACAATGTTGACACGGTAACGAATGATAAGAAATAATAGCCTGACGCCGAAACGCCGTCATCATAATTCATAATATGAATATTGAATATCCCCGATCCCATATTATTCCAAAATTCGAAACAATTAATTACGAATTCGAACCATTTAAATAACATTACTGACATCTATTCTTGAGTCTTCATCCCAGTGTTTGTTTCCAATTTCCCACTAGTCGTCGACTTTCCGTAGCTGCGCGATGTGACATTGTCTTCGGTTTGAATTCTCGACGAAACTATGGAGTCCTGCACGTCGGGTTACCAAAACCTAAATGAATCTGACCGCAGGATCAGCAATGCCTTCACTGCTAAGAAACAGGCACAAGACTTCGAAATGAGCAACGTGACTGTCGTGCCCGATGGTAAGTACAGTGTTGACGGTCTTTGCATGAACCAATAAAGTCACCCGCCAACAAAACCTGAAAATACCGTTTGGTTGTGCCTACCAGTGGATTGGGTGAAACCTGTGGCTTCCATACAGTTTTTACGTTTTTGTACTTTGCTCTTGACAGAAACGTACACAGTTGCTCAAGCTGTAGACGCTTTTGGATTTGGCAGATTTCAAGTGAAGTTGTCGCTGTTCACCGGACTTTGTTGGATGGCTGATAGCATGGAAACAACTATTTTGAGTATTTTGTCACCCACTTTGCAATATGAATGGCAGATAACACTTTTTCAACAAGCTCTAGCAACAACAGTGAGTGTTCAATTAATTTTTTACTTAAGATTTTTATGAGTTAAGTTACATACTTACAGTAGAACCTTGATGAACTTTCGTACTCAGTTAACCATCAGGATCCCAACTTGCTTTTCAACAATTGCGGATTACTCACACATTGTAGTAACATTTTGTGTTCCGGGAAATCCTGGCCATGTATTATAATTTATAATGTACATTCTTTTTATTCTGTTTTTATACTTAAATTATTTGTTCCCCTTCAATTGTTTTTAGGTTGTTTTTATGGGCATGATGTTGAGCTTACCATTTTGGGGATCATTCAGCGACAAGTTTGGCCGAAAAACGGTATGCCTGTTGATTACTCTACAAAATCAAAGAAGGATTAAATGACGATTTGGTAGTATATTTAGCTGAACCATTTACACTAAAAACGTGTCGGTTTTTCTACTTGAATCTATTCAATAACGATTAATGATTATTTAATACTTTGTTATGAGTTCTCCTTGGTCCTCATACGAGTATTTAATTCATACTGTTATTGTAATGAGATGAACAAAATAAAGATAAAGTGATAAATTTGTGTAAAAATTAAATTTAAACCTAAATTAAAAATACTACAAATGTCACTTAGTCCCTTTTGATTCACAATCAAAAATAAATAAACAACATTTATTGTTCATTCCATATTAATTCTTTTGAAACTTGTAATCATTTTCTATATTTTACAGGCTTTGACTCTATGTTCAGTGTTATTGTTTTATTTTGGCATTCTTAGCTCAATGTCACCAAATTATACGTGGTTGTTGGTTTTACGAGGATTAGTTGGATTTGCTATTGGTTGTTCTCCACAGTCGTATGTTAAAATATTATACTCCTTAACAATTACTGTTTCATTTAGTATTATCTTGACATATTTTGTTTGTGATGTATTGTGTATTTGCTAGTGTTACGTTATATGCAGAATTTTTACCTTGTAAACAACGAGCCAAATGTGTAGTGCTACTCGATGTAAGTTTGGGCATTAGAAATATATTGAAATAGATAATAATATGTTAGTAGTCATAACATATTATGATTATATGAATAATAAATAGAGGCGATACGAGACAACATATTTTTATGACATTTATTATATTTATAATAAAATTCATAATTTTATTTTATATTATTTTCATATTTGCTACACATTATTTATGCTATTGATATTAATTTAATTATGTATTCTCAACAACTATAATAAAAATGTATCTCAAATCGCCTCATAAAAATTATAAATACCTGATAAATAATTAATAATTTTGTTTCAATTTTTATTTAGTGTTTTTGGGCACTCGGAGCATGCTTCGAAGTTCTTTTAGCCCTAATAGTGATGCCCACATTAGGCTGGAAATGGCTTTTAGTACTGTCCACAGCACCATTGCTTGGTTTCGCATGTGTGTGTCCGGTAATGAAACACCTCATAAACGCTTTTTGCATGTTATATATCATAGATTATATCACACAGATCTAACATACATTATAATATACAATATTCAATTTAAATTGGTTATATCTTTATGATAAAGATAATGTATTCAAATTTAAGTTTAAAAAATATGAGTAACTAATACCATATTAAATATTATGCTATTTTATTACTACATCATATACCATAATGACATTTTTAAACAGTATCAGAGTGAAATAGTTTTAGATTTTTAATAATGATGTTGCACGTGTGCTTAACTGTGCACAAACAAAACAAAAAAATACCCCATTCTATTGATGGTAATTTTTATTATTTGTAATGGCTAAGCTGAAACCTTTAGCTCTTAGTTCTAATTGCAATGACAAATATTCCATATTACTTTTCCTAGGTTAGAACATATTATTTTATTTTATGTATTAAACAATAATTATGTTAGTCAATAATTATCAAACACATATTTGTCCTTACAATTTTTAGTGGTTACCAGAATCAGCCAAGTATTTAGTGACCAATGGTCAAACAGACAAGGCGATTGACACATTAAAAAAAGTTGCACACGATAATGGAAAACCAATGCTCTTAGGTAGATTGGTCGTTGATGATGTAGTTCTAGAAGAAAAACATGGTCGTTTTTCTGATCTTTTGCTGCCACAACTCAGAGTCTCATCTATTTTACTCTGGTTCATTTGGTGATTCATTCAAACAAAACACAAATTTACTAATTTTATTTTAATACTTAAACATATTAACTATAGGTTGGTGTGTGCATTTTGCTACTATGGAATTGTGTTGATGTCTACTGGCCTGTTTGAGAGCAGTAACAATATTAGGACATGTTCATCAAATTTGGACAGTGGCATTTTCAAGACTGTGCAGTCTTGTACTGCCGAATCTCATTATTTGACAACTCGGGACTACATTGATCTTCTGTGGACAACACTTGCAGAATTCCCTGGTAATAACAGTAGTCTTAATAGTATGTGAACTTTCATTTTAAACAAAAACATACATTTTGTCAGGGATATTTGCCACCATTTTTGTGATTGATAGATTTGGCCGAAAGATAACATTGGTTTTTCAATTCACATTATTTGCTATTACTCTATTTTTACTACTTCAGTATGCAAAAAAGTAAGAATTCAATTTTGAAATTGTATTTGTGAAGCATTTATATTTTGTTTTACTTTAATTTGGATTTGTTTTAGTCGTGTATTGTTAACAATCACATTGTTTTTGGCAAGAGGTATCATTGCAGGAGTGTTTCAGGCTGTATATGTTTATACTCCAGAGGTGATTTACAGCAATTATGATATATTTCCATTTTATTGTTTTTTTTTTGCATGATTGTTATAGGTTTATCCAACGCCTTTAAGATCCATAGGAGTCGGAACTTGCAGTGCTATGGCCCGCCTAGGTGCTATGGTTACGCCATATGTTGCACAGGTAAGTCTGATAGCCAGAATACAATAAATTTAATCAGATTTTCAAGTACACCATCAAATAGAAAATAATTAATAATTTTTTATATTGTAGGTATTGCTCAAGTCATCATTTAATACTTCAATAATCATTTACATTACAGCAGCTCTAATGGCCGCTTTAGCAAGTTCATTATTGCCAATAGAAACTAAAGGAAGGGATATGAAAGAAGAATATGTGGAAAAAGATTAGTTTTTTAAAATTGTAATTATTTAATATGTATTATTTCTTTTATCAGAAGTGTAGTTTACCATTCACCTAGGGATTTTAATTATTATTACAACTTAAGTTTTGATATTCTTCATTGTAAGTAGTTGTGGTTTTAGTAACACTTACACAATTAGTACATTGATATAAAAGTGTTAGAAATGTTTTATTTCCACAAATACTTGTATTTATACTGTTAAAAAAAATAACTCAAATTATAGAATATTGTTTATTATAACTATATAGAAGCAAGTATCTATGGATTCAAACCATTTTAACTCCATCTTATAAACATACTAAATGTAGCAGTTATATTATATTCCAAAAAAAGTTTGAAATAGCCTGGAACGTGTTTCGTATTGATTTTTTCCAAACTTATTTGGAAAATAGTATACAATTTAGTTATCAAAAGGACTTTGGAACCCTGTAAAATATGACTATTTAAATTGCTGTATTCGTCTATACTCAATTCACGTTTAAAAGGTTCCTTGGCTACAGACTACAAATAGGTGTTCTCTGACTGCCATCCGATGGAAAATGGTTCCTTTTTAATATGAAAGGAGTATATTTTGATCATATACTTGTGACTATGATGTTCCACAATATTACTCATTGACTTCCTACCTGAAAAATAATATTGTCCCAAGGACCTCAATTTGTGCCAACCCTCAGTATTTATTAAATAATAACACAATTATTTGATGTAAGTTAAAAAAAATCCTTGTGGTTAAAAATATGTTAACTGTGAATTCTCAGCCCTAGCATGAAATTCGGATTGAGCCATAATTTTTTACTTGAATTACACAAATTCAAAACTGGAAGTGGCTTGGTAAACTACACTTGATCCATATTTTAGTTTATTAAATTGTTAATACTACTATGATTTTTTTGGTTTGTTAGGAAAATGTGTTAAATTAATATTGACTTAATAAGAAATTAGTTATACTTACTTGTATAAAAACAGAACCAAGTGTTCTATAGGCTCATATCTATTTATTGTTGATTGTAAGTATATTTTTTTACTGCCACAGTACTTTTATGGATGTTTATGTATTTAATAATGACAAAAAATAAATAAACGTATTTCGTATTTTCAAAATGTCTTGTGTCTTTATTTTACTGAATTAAGACAGATATTAAAAGAAGGGGGAAAATCAACAACAAAGAAGAAACAAAACATCGAGATACCTAAAAAATCGTGCTCATTAGTTAGACTCGAAAGATCAAAAATGTTCACAAACATAATATGTCTATCAAAAACAAGTCCATTATTGCCTATAAACAAAAGAAACTTACAATTGTCCAAAAGAAAGTCTACATTTTAAGGTCTTCAAAAAGGACTTGCATAACTACATGGGCAGTAGCCTTCAGTATATGTATCTAAAACAAAAATAAATGTTAATTTAAAACAACATTTAACAATTTAAACATTATAGTCGCAATAATATTATTTGATACTCACGAGATTATTTCTGTAGACTAGAATTATTTGTAGATTGCCCATACACTGGCCCCCAAATATACGAAGTCCATAAATTGTATCCAGGGTCATTGCTTGAAAATGGTATGATGTCAGTAGAACTGTCGTAGTTTGATGTACTTGTAGCCGCCATAGTATCAATTATTGAAAGATTTGATTCTAAGAAAATTAACATAAGCCATAGTAACATTAAATGTTTTTAAATAATTTAAAAAAAACAAACCTGACTCTTTTTTTAAAGTTTCGAGTAAAACTAAATCGGAATCTGACTTGGTTACTTTTTCCTCATTTTTACGATCTCTTCCTGAACCCACAGGTCCTAAAATGAAAACTAATACCATACAAATTAAAAAAAAGAAAACATTTGTATTAAAGTAAAAAACAATTTAATTTCTATACTTCCAGATTTTAATTTAAAATTAATGTAATAAATGTTAAAATTTAAGTTTCTTAAGATCCTAAATAAATATGATGTTTTATACATTTATGAACTTTTCAGTTATCATACTCTAGACCAATAATTGGCTTGCATGCAGAATGTGTTTTAATTCCGTTTTTGGGCTAAGTATTTACTTCAGTTTTATATTTCTTATCAGGGTAAATATAGGTATATGGTTATTATAATTTATAATAAATAAATAACATTTTTTTTAAATTATGAAGTAATTTAAAAAAATTATAGGTCAGAGGGCTAGTAATATTTGTTTAATATCAAATTATTAAACACAATTTAATTTCATATCATTTTTTTTGTGGTGGAATACTTATATTTTAAATGAATAAAATGTACAGAAAAAATAAATAGTCAACTAGTTTTTAAAAACTATTAATGTTATTTGCTTTTTTTATTATTATTAACACTAGCTTTAATGTCCAAATAAATATTGAATACTAATTCAATAATTTTGCATAGTACTACGATATTTAATACAAATATTTAATAATCAAATAAAATATTACCATGCTTATTAGTTATTGTTGGTGAAAGATCAACATGTTTTTCATCAGAGCCTCTTTTCAATACAGTAATTTTTCTTTTGACCTCTAGCTGTTGATCTGTCTGGGGCTTATAGAGTGGTACAAAATCTTTTTTTTCTTTGTCTGTAATGGCGGGCACAATACCTTCATTCACATTATGTTTCATTACTTCTGGAGAATTACATCTTTCCAATGTTTGAACTTTTGGTTTTATCAATTCTGAAGGTGTGAATTTTTCCATGGTCTGAACTTTTGGTTTCATTGATTCTGGTGAATTAAACATTTCTGCAGTTTGTACCTTTATTTTAGTGGCTTCTGGCGAAGTGCACCTCTCTGCAGATTGAATTTTTGGTCTTATCACTTCTGATGGATTTAAGTTTTCAACACTTTGACCCTTTGGTTTGGTTACTTCTAATGAATTGCAAGTTTCCACAGTTTGAACTTTTGGTTTTATAACTTCTGGCGAACTGAACTTTTCTGATGATTGTACCTTTGATTTCATAATCTCTGGTAAATTGAATTTTTCCATAGCCTGAACATTTGGTTTTACTTCTGTCCCGTTGAATCTTTCTACAGTTTGAACTTTTGGTTTTGTAACTTCTGATGAAATAAATCTTTCGACCGTTTGAACTTTTGGTTTCACTATATCTGGCATATTTAATCTTTCCGTACATTGAACCTTTGGTTTAACAACTATAGGTGGTGCTATCAATGGTGAAACTGGTGATGCTACTGGTGGAGTAGGAGGAGGTAATGAAGCCTTTCTCTCCGTCTTATTTTTCTTCTTCATACACTTATATTCTGCCAAAAGTCCATCATCATCAATAATTGATTTCTTCGATATTGCTGACCGCATTGTTGCTGGTTCTTTATCAATTTTATTCTGAACGCCTTGTATTGGTTTGGATTTTGAAGTATTAAACTTTTCGATTAAACGTTCTGGCTGTACGATTGTCACAATTGGCTGTTTAGGAAGAACAATTTGGTATGGTGCAACAGAAGCAATAGGCTTCTTAACGACTTCAAGTGATGGGGAATTCAACACTGCTATTTGAGATTCTGGGCTATTAATCGGCTTTATTACTGGAAGACTTATAGTAGAAACTTTTTTATTGCTTTTCACAGTTTTTACAATTTTAAGATCTGGTTTAGTTTCTACTGGGACTTTTGGTTCTGGACTTGGACTAATTTTCTCTGTCACTGGAAGTTCCTCATAATATTTGGCTGCATTAAGGGCTTTCTTGTGCTTTCTCCAACTGTCAACTGGTTTTAATCCATACTGTTTTTTTAATAATTTTTCAGCACGTCTACGATTTTCCATTTCAAACTTTCCCTCTTCAGCTTTAGAATTCTTGTTTAGTTGAGAATCTATTACAAGCCCAGGAGATCTATTATGAAATCAATAAGAAATCAAAATTATGGAATGATTTAAAATTGATTTGCCATTAAACAGAGTTATTTCAATTTTTATAATATTGCATAGTTTTCTAAGATTGTTTGATTCTAACTTATCCATTATAAAAATTAATGATTTTACTATAGTATTATTAACAGTTACAAAATTTTATTTTTATATGAGTTAAATTTGCTATGTCAATTTCTTAAAAATCAATCTGACACATTTTCTTTTTTATTAGATAGGTATCTAGTTTTTATAATGAAATAAATAGTTTTATATAATATTTTGAGTTAATAATTTCAATTTAATGCATAAGTTTGGTAAAATGAAAATTATGAAAACTGATGGACGTGTAAAAATAATTAATATGAATGATTTTTCTATAAAAAATACAAAATAGAAGAGTAACATAAAAACCATACCTATTTCTTGCAATTTGCCATGAAGACACATTGTACTTTTGACTAGAATCAGTTTCTGAGATCACTGTTTGGCTTAAATAACGTCTCTTTGTTTTTTCTTTCGGATGATTATCAAGTAAATGAGATCTACTACGATCTTTTTCAGATTTCTAAAAAGTTTAATTAATATAATAAAGTCAAAATAAGAATGGAAAAAAATTACTTGTTCTGGTTCTGGTTCTGTATTGCGCAGCATAAAACTCCAAATGGGTGTAGAGTCTGAAGGCTTAACATAACTGTTTTCACTCTGTGATATACCCAAAGACGTAGGATCGGGTATAACCTCATTACGCTTTTCATCATTGCCTTCTTTATGCTTGGAATTCCTGTTGATTTGTTAATGCAATATTACTACCAGTCACACTGCCTAAAGTATAATGAAGTATTTGGTATCACATACTTGAATTCACTTTTCTTAGCATTTCCTGATTGTGCTAGAACAGACTGAAATGATCGTTTTCCATGAGCTCCAACACAAGGAGGACCAAGGTTTTTTGATAAAAAATCCTTATCAATGGTATGTACAGCAGCAATTGATACAATCCAAGCAACTACCATGAGTATTCCAGCAGCCAAGAGCATAATTTGACCTATTGAAGACTCCCACTCTGGTCGAATCCAACTATCACCTCGACGGAACTCTTGCCATGTATATTTTTCTTGGCATAATTCCCATTCTGGAGGTACAATACCCCACAGCTGATAGATGAAAATACGACTGGTGGTTTCTGATCCAATTGTTTCTTCAGTATTTATTTCTAACTGACGAATAACAGATCTTAACGTGAAATCAGCAGTAAACTCAACTGATACCTAAAAAAAATGTTCCATTACTTCTATTATTACATTAAAATATAAGCAAATATACCTCTCTGGATTGATTAGGTAAGAGAGAAAATTTTCTGCAATCTAAAATTCTAAAGCCATAGCCACTGCAAAGTACACTGTTTATAGTCATAGATGTAATCCTAACTGTATGTTTGCCAGGATTCTTTATTAAAAATATTCTGGTCTCCGACGGCAATAAAGTTTTATCTGAAATATATTTTAAACTTTGATACTTTGTGGGAATAACTTATAAGTTTTAAATCACTCACTTTTACTACACATAAGATCAATCATAGGACTAGATTCTAAATCAAAAATTAATGGAGGCAGTTTTCTTTTAGAACCAAATGATAATACAGGATAGGCTCCCATTCCTTTTAGTAATATACTTTCTAGAATAGATACGTCATTTCTGAAAACCAAATATTCAATTCCAAATAATATTCATAAATTGCACAAAAAAAAAAAATAAGATTAATTTTGAGGTTAAGCAGAAGTAAATTACCTGATAAAGAGTATTGATGTACTGACACCCGGTTTTTTTGGCTGAAATCTTACTAACACTTCAAGTTCCTTTTGGGGGGGCAAAACGAATATCATGGTTTTCTTATGAGGAACGTAGACAGAGTTCTTGACATTTAACACTTTCCTTCGATAAGGACTAGAATTATTCAATACTAATTCCCAATCATCTCTTGATATTAACAAAGAATTAACCCTAAATAAAATTCAAAAATATTACTTAATTATTTGAAGATTTTATTGATTGGAGCTTATTCATACTCGTGTTCAAATAGATCTATGAACTCTGTGATATTACACCAGTATGGATGGGGATACATAGCCAAATGCAACGTTATATTTTGTGTATGAAATGTATTTTTCACCAGGATCTTTTGATAATACGGTTTTCCTTTCACCTCCATGGTTGGCAATTCGAATGTAGTTTGCTGTCGATTTTCACCAGGTTCTTGTATAAACTTTGGCCATTTTAAATGAAGATGCACACTAAACTGACAAGTTTCAGCACCACCTGAATGAAATAATCACAATTTATTCAACTATAAAATAATTTTAAACAAAATTAAGATATTTGTTGACTAGTATAAAATGTAGCCCAACTAGCCTTAAATGCTCCCCCCCCCCCCAAAAAAAAAAAAAAACTAACTAATAGCTTTCTTCATCTATTTAAGTTTAAAAAATAATAATTTATCTTTAAAATACAAACCAGTCTCTAATGTAAACTGATGTCTTAGAGTGCGATTGTCTTCTTCGGCATAATATTTCCCCATTCGACGATAAAACCAAGAAAAATCCATATAGCTTGTCTCAGAAGAATTTGTTAAATGAAAACTTGACAACCACATTGCTCTTTCTACATGTATCAATAGATATATACATTTTATGGTAGAAAAAGGTTTTAATTTTTATTCCAAATATACCACGTACCAGCTTTACTGAACAAACCTATCCAACCCGAAGAGTTTTTATGATGGGCAGGAATCCATTCTATATGTCCAACTAAGGATACCATTTGAGGCTGAATAAGAGATGGTCTTGTGGGAACAAATCGGACATTTTCACTAACAAATTCACTCGTCACAGACGTTAGTGCTAATGTTCTGTCCAACCAAGACATAACATTTACTTCAGCAGTGCATACAGCGCCCTAAAAATTAAAAATATTTCATTAAATTCAAGATTGATAAATATTATAGGTATTATTAGAAAAGTGAAATTATTGCATAAATTGATAACTACACACTTACTGGGTGACAGTTTTCAAATGCTAATGGTTCAGCTATTACTTGTAAATTCTTATCAAACACAGATACTTTCAATGGTATACTGTAATGCTGATGTTGAGTTTGAATCCATATTTTAACGGTTAAATTTTGATCAGGATTTGGTGTAGACACCAACAATTGGAATATAGCGTAGTGTTTAACTGGTAAAGCCACAGGCTATTAAAACAATATAAAAATACATTCTTAAGCATAATACTATGATAACATCATTAAAATAAATATAAAGGAAATACTTACAGCTGGTATTTGATCATCACGTATCATTGGCCGAGACCAACTGTCTGCACTATTGCGACGCATCGAAGAGTTAAATTTTCCTATTTCCACTAAGTTTAATGAGACGTGTGGAGTGTATGTTGTACCCCAATCTTTAACCATTATAGCAACAGGATTTTCGTTAGCAACTACAATATAAGTATGACGGGGTGAACTAATTCTTATTGGTGGTAACGTGATGATATTGGTAGCTGGTAAAACCTAAATTATAAATCCAGAATATCGATATTAACACATCTATTATAAATTTATAAAATTAGTGTCTTGTACACAAGTTTTTGCATACCTGTGAGAGTTGTCCATCATACACCATTAATGGAATTGTAAAATCTGAAGCATTGGTTTTAAATTCTAAGTATGATATAATATCCATTTTGGAATTATTTGGGTTAACATATCCAACACGAAATAATGTTTTATTTTGACCTGGTTTTAAAACTACAGGGTTAAAATCTCTTATCTAAAAAACAAAACAAAAAACATAAAATGTATAGTCTTAAATTATGTAATTAAAATTGTTGAGATAATTCTAATAAAAATAAAATGATAATTGACTAATATATTTACCTTAAAATACTGTGTGGCATTTTTTGGAATCCCTATTTGAGAAATAGCAACTGGAGTGGATGAAAAATTATTCAGCAATGAGAAAGTTTTAATAATACTCGTTGAACGAATTGCTTTTGACATCACAAAATGCAATGATTGTTCTTCATACACCAAATCACCTTCCAGTGTTCTTCCATGGTATGGTATATTTAACTCATTACCTTTGTTACTCTTCACAGTTAACTGTCCATAATGAGTTTCACCATATGAATAACCAACATAATCCCCTAAAAAAAAATGATAAAACAGTTCCAATCAATACATTAGTAAATTATGAAGGACAGTCAATAATGGTGGTTAACATAATTCACAGCCCTTACAGTGATAACTAATATGAGCAACTTGGCCTGCTGTACATGACTGTGGAGGTACTTCTACTTCATGAGGAAAATCCACAGTCACAAAGTGAGAATCAGATGTTACATTCTTAAAAGAAATATTATAAAAAAAAGATGATTGATGTACATGTCTTGAAAATATGTTGTACTGTTGTCTATCTTCTATAACATACCTGAACAATAATACTAGATTTTGCTGAGTTACACAAGTTTAGTGCTTTTGATGTAACTAAACCATTTCTACTGGCAACACCAAAATCGATGATGTGTTCAGAACTATAAAGACCTGGCTTTGATACCATCACAATGTTTATAGGTACATTTATGTATTCGTGATTACTCAAAAACAGCCTGTTTGCAATAAAAAAACACAAGCTTCAAGTATATATTTGTTTATAAAAACAATTACAACAATTAGTACAAACCCTATTTTTGTGGAGTGGTTTTTCTTAGACCGTTCTGCAAATGTAAATCTAATCAATGGTTTTGTTTGGTATGGCATGATATCCCAAACATTTCTTTGGTCTTCCATTTGGCCAGATGGTAGACTTAAGTGAAATCCAGGTCCGCCACCAAATACTTTTACAACCTAAAATTATGATTTGCAACAAACTCATTAATATGAATCAATTAACCTATCAAATTAATTATTTTGATGTTAGATGTCAAACAAACTTGTAAAACTTCTGAGTATGGGTTAAATATTGAGATCGCTGCTGAAAATGTTGCTCTCAGTGGTAACACGAGATTATTTAAATAAGGAACCTTGTAAAAGTCTAAACGATTTCTATGTTTTTCCTAAGAATATTAAATAATTTAGTTAGTAAGCAAATTATGTAAGAATTATATGCTAAAACAATTCTTGATTTTATAATTTTTTTCATTACCGGTGCAGTGTTAAGGAAATCTTCAAAAATTGTTACATCTAAGCGCTGACCCACAATTGAACTTTTATTATTCTGTGGATTTTTAGGAGCAAAATAATACATTTCATCTGGGCTATAACAAAATCAAATCAAACTATCTTCAACTAAATATATAACAAACATCACTATTCACTAATATCTTTTTTAACTATTACTCAAATATTAATTTTAATGTATGATTTCATATCATATAAAATTGGTCTTTTGGAAATAAAAATATTTGAGATTATTCAACTATTAAATAGTAATAAAAACCCATAATTAATCAATTCTACAATTTTACTTGGTTTAGTTGTATGTTATGAAGTTAAATTTATCTTTAATTTTAATATAAAAGAATTTACCCAATAGCTGTATCCGGTTGAAGTTCATCAAGTCCAGGTGGATGAGGACCTGTGTTGATGTTTATGAGTATCATATCAGGATCTTTAGCCTCATTTCTAAAAATAATAAAATATTTTTTGTCAATAATAATGTGTATATGTTGTATACCTTACTGGACCAAAAATCATATGCAGATGCATATAGGTATATAAATATATTAGTATACTAATGAAGAGATATTTTATTATCCAGTAATCAATCAATATGAAAATATTTTATCCTTTTTTCTTTTATACCTATATACTTCATTAAAACACCTGTTTTTGTTGAAATAATTTCATAATAATCAAAATTAACTTCATGTGCAATTTTAGTTAAACTTAAAATTATAATATTAATCTTAATACATAAATAGTAACTGATTGCCACATGTAATCTAGATACATACTTTAACTAAATAACTTAGTTATTATAAATTAGTAAAAACAAATTTGTTTAGTTGCTTTAATTTATAAACTATAGATTTATGGATTGATAAACACATTACCATGCAAACAAATATTTATAATCCCTTGATTAAATCACATTTAATTAATTCATCCAAACACTATGCAACTTCCCAAAAATATAGGTCAATTGAATGAAAAATTTAAAAAAAATACTTTGACATATTTGTCAATACATTACAAAGATACATATCTACAATTTTGTTTCCATACAAACATAACAATTTAAAAGAAGAATATGAAATTCATTAAATATTTACTTACTGAGGAGGATTTGATCGATCATGAGATACTTGTTCCTGAAAGATTTTAATAAATGTTTTAGTAAATACTGCTATTTAAAATTTTGTTATACAATAGACTTACTTTATTTGAATGCTGAGAAATATCTTCAACAACATAAGATCCATATGGAGCATTCTGAGGTTGAATATAAACTATAATATAACAAAATTAGTAATTACCAAATCAAGATTTAAAACCTAAATAATTTTTTAATATTTTTTTGCTTATTGTAGATGCCTACTTATAAGTTATAACCAACTGATGTAAAGTACCTGATTGGATGAGTTACAATTGTATTGTCATTTTAAATTAATTTATAATCAATGTAGGAAATGTTAGAATATATTTTTAATTTAAATACCTAAATATGTTCTATTTTTATTGCAGGAATAAGTTTATATTACTCATTCCTATTAATTATTATGTATATAATTATGAAGTTAACTATCAATCAAATTATCAATGCACCAGAATGAAATAACACGAAGCAATCGAAATGGAATCCGAATAGATAACCATTGAAATTGGAACAGTTAACAGTTGCAAACACAGACCAGTGTGCCCAAAAGGGTTCTTGTGCTGTGGTTGAGTAAGTAGGTAGATAGTATGCAAATATAAACACTAGGTAGGTGGGTAGGTAGGTATCTACAATATATTGGACATACAGATAAGTAAGAAGTATCAGAGAGGACTTACCAGAATCATGGTGATACGAAACCGAAGGCGACTGACAGGATGACAGAGGCAGTTGGACTGCGATACTTATGCATACTGCTAAAACGGTGAGGACGAGGCGAACACAGGGCGTTAATAATAATACGGAGATCATGGTTTACGGTGTGTAAAAATGAGAGTTTTAAATTATAATAATAATAGTAATAATAAAAATAAGAGGTACAAACAGTAATAGCAGTAATCGTAAAAAAAATTAACAATGTAATAATAATAGTAATAATAATAATAACGGTGACGATATTGTAACAATAATGATTACGATTTAAACAGAGGCGGATAGCGCGATAGAAGAGAAAAATATATTATAAAACGACGGAACTCAGCGGCGGCTGTGGCGACGACGGCGGCGGCAACGGCGGCGGCGCACACACACCACTTGTCTCCTCTATTGTGTAAATTACGGCACGTTACAATGTATAGCACATTCTGTACCTGCGACGGCGGCGGAGTCTTTCTGGTTTCTGCGCGCGCGACGTGACAGACAAACGCACACTCGGAGGGTGATACAAGTACGCGATCTTTGTTGCGGGGGTTGGGGTGCGTGCGATGATGATACACGATGATGCACAGAGTAGAGGTCGCACGTAGGCACCTCTGTTCGTATTGTTATAATTTTTCCCGGCGATTATGGCGATGTGGACAAGTAGACAGGAGGAGTTGGTGGCGGTGGTGGGAAGAGGGTCGGTTTCGGGAGTATTATAATAATTCTCTTGACTTTCTTCCGCTCGACTCTGCGCCGACGACGATGAAGAAAATATCGTACGAAATTTCTCCGGGCCGCGAGAAAAGCGTCGACCACAGCAGGATGATGTTTTTTGGAAATGTTATCGACGTTATCGTATCGTGTAGTATAATTTTTTTTTGTTTCTATTCCGTCCGTTTAGAGATAAGTTAGATGTAAGAAAGGAACATAAATTTTTATGCTCGTCCGTCTCCCCCGTCGTTTTCGTTTTTCGTCCCCGGAACGCGACGACGACGACGACCGCGGCGACGAACACGACGAGCCAACAGCAGCAACACACGGCGCGCCGCCAGCAGGACCACAGCTGGGATGTTTGCAGAAATTATTGATCTGATCGGGCGAGCGCGTGTGTGTACGACTCGTGTCAGTGCGCGTGCGCGGCGCGTCGTCGTCGTACCGTCCCACCTCCCACCACCCGCTGAGCGAGTGTGAAGTGTAACGATAACGGCGGCGCTTAAACGCCAAGCGGTCCGTCGACCGTCCACCACCGTCGCCGACTCGTCGGGAAATGAAATTGGCGGGCGCTGCCCGTGGCCCGTCAGGCACTCAGGCGTCAAGCATTCGCGTCGCCATGGTTGTTCGCGGTAAATGATCGGCACTCGGGTAAATAGTACATACCAGCACCGGTACGTCTCTCTGCCAGTTCTCTCAGCTCGTGTCTCCAAAGTCCGCTCTGATCAGCTGACAACTGGTGCTCAGTATCCGCGCGCTTTTTGCCGTGGTATGGATATCGTCACATCTTTACGTCTCTCGCACCGACCGTTTACCGTAAATCGTTTGTTTATATCGTTTGTTGTGTTCGTGATACTACAACAGCCGTAGACAAATAGGCATTATTATTATTATTGAAAAGAATGCTGTAGGCTATAAATTATAATAATTTTAGAAACCATGAGAGTTAAATATATTATAGGTTGTAATGAATGTTTATCGCAGTGTTTCACTATTTCTTTTCACACTTTATTCACAGAAATATTTTATAAGGGCATTTTGTGGAGTAACCGTTAAAAAAATATTAAACAGTTATGTTCAAAAAATGTTTACATATAGGTATATGTATGGTTCATTATCAGCATATAATATGTATAATGTATATGTTATTTCTCAACATAATCACCATTCACCGTTCACTTGAACGCATTATTCATGAATCATGAGTCATGACTTGAGCTTATTACCAACTTCCCTACCAACTTCATAGAAGCTTGCTGTCAGCTGCTTTTTCAGGTATTGGGTGATTTTGTTCTTCAGTTTTTCATCTGTCTCCATCCTTTTTATTTTCTTATGCTTATTTTAAGACAAGTATTAGTTGGGCAAGGTCTAGGCTGTAAGGAGTAAAGAAGATCGCAACCAAATGATCCAAGAAGGTTTTTACATCAAGTGCAACATTGTCAGGAGGAGACATGCTCTTTTCGTCTTCGATTTTGGATGGCCCTATGAAGGTTTGAAGATTTTCCAATGCCTCAAAATCATGGGCGCCGCGAAGGGGGTGCAAGGGGGTGAACTTGCACTCCCCTGGTTTTTCAAAAAAGAAAAAATTTAAAAAATTGAATGGCATTGAAACTGTATATTTTGCATAATTATCTACATTATTTCTATTATTTATTATTATACTTATTTTACATAATTGTCTATAAATATTATTTATATTATGTATTATGTAATACTTATTTTTTAAATAATAAAGGTAAACGCCTAGGTTTTTTCCAAATTCTTCAATTGAATTTCGGATTTTCTAATCGTTGCCACTAGCCCGAGTTACATTGTAGCCGTTGAAAAAAAAACTATAGTAACTTTGTATCGTTATACAATTTGAAAAAAATTGTACGTATTCAACTATTATTATTATTACCAATTATTAGTATTGTTATTTGTTATTATTATTATTATTATTATTATTATTATTATTATTATTATTATAGTATTATACTATTAAGTATACACTATACAAGCATTATTAAGAAATCAACATGTACTTGCACGATGTACCCCCCTGATAAAATTCCTGGAGGAACCTATGCTCACAATAAAAGACTGTATTGATGGTTGACTCAAAAACGAATCGAAGATGATTTATGCGGTTTCTAGATTCTGAGTGGAGCGAGCGATGAATATGTATTGGATTTACAATGATGTGATTTTTTTGTGTGTGTTTGTCTGCTGTCATCACCTTTTGAGACAGTAAAAATGCGTTGATTTTCTTCAACATCATCTTTTTTGACAGGAAAGTAAATGTAGTTGGTACCTCAGGGTGTTTAAAGACCCAAAAGATAAACGTCGGAAACAGCGAACAAAAAAATAAGGAAAAACAGAAAGTTTTAGGTACTCAAAATTGGTTTCTAAAAAATCGATTTTAATTTTTTGTGTAACTCCAAAAAAAATTACAGTAGATACGTGCAATTTTCATTAAATGTTTGGAATTGTATTTTCTATACACCTTACAATTTTCAAAATATTTTGACTCGTATTGAACTATTTATAGACATCAGATGAAATGTTCACTCATTATTGGTTATTTTTCAAATTAATGTCGATAAAAATTTTTTAAATACTTTGAAATTTGATACAAAGTTCCTCGCAAGTTTTTGTAAGTGGAAATAAAAAAAAAGTTGAGCTTAATTGGCCATAATTTTTTATGAGCGTTTGAATTTTAAATGTTGACAAAACTCATCAAAATTACGAAAATTGGCTACCTAATTCATAGAAAATGTTCTTTTTACATCTGAAGTTCAAAAATCTAATACAAAGTTCCTCTTAAGTTTTTCTAAATTTACCCAATAATAAAAGTTTAAAAATAAATTTTTTACGAGCGTTTGAAGTTAGGCATTGGATATTCACCCGTAATAATTAACAAGGCCTCATACAACGATATTCTTATTTTGTTGCTATTCAAAAAATAATAATGGAATTAAGGTACTTGAAATTTTCATCAAATGTTTATTTTATCATTTCCTTTACAATAATATCATAAAAACAAGTATCCCTTTAAATAGTTATAACTGTTACCAATCTAAGAAATATATAAAAACAGTTGTTTTTTACAGACATTTGAAGTTCAAATTTGAACGATATTACATGTTAAAACCAAGAATAACAATTTTAGTTATTTTGTTATAATTTAAAAATATTATTCGTGGTTACTGAGACCTTTAGTGTACATTATTATATTCATATATTGTATACAGTACCTTTAAACATAATGACATTTTCAAATGCAATTTTTTTGGCAAAAATGAATTTAACCTTTTATTGCTGTAGTACTAATGCCTAATAGACAATATAGTAAATTAAATTACTTTAACTGAATTTAAGTATTTAACCACAATAATAACATACAATTTACTTAGATAGAAATATTATAGGCTAACAGACGACAGACTGTCTTCGCTGAGAACCATTTTTCGTATACGATGGTGAATGAATATTGCGAATTCAAATTTAACACATCCGTTACGGTGACTCCCTAATCATAACTAAGTTTTAAGTAAAATTTAAAACTCACTTCCAAATTTTAGGTTTTATAAATTTATTTTTATTTGTTGCTTTGAAATGTATATTCAATTAACACATTTACCTGGAATATTTAAGTTATTTGAAAAGGGATTATACTTATTTATTATTTATTTAATATTTGTATGCATATAATTGCAGTTTTTTTTATTTTATTTTAGTTTTCAATGACTGCTTTTATTTTCACAATTAAAGATGATTCTAAATTCTAATCGAATACAAAAACAATATATTTATAAAGTACATAAAAATAAAAGTAAGTTCAGCTAAAGTAAAAAAAGTACTAAAAATAAGATAAGAAAATCTATAAATAAAAAAGAGATTTTTACCTACTCGATAAAAAATGTAGGAAAAAATCTAGTTTAGCTCTAATTTTTCAATTTTTTTCTTCGGAAACCTCTGTATTTTAACGGGCTTAGAAAGATGGTGCAAAAATTAATAGGCGGAAACCATTAGTTTTTAAGTTATAGGATTACGAAGTTCACAATTTTCAGTGTTTTTTTGCATGTGTATGCATCTATTTTACCGTGCTTATAACGAATTTTTCAATTATTTATTTTGAAAACTTTGAAAATCAACGTTTTAAAGACGATAGTCCGAAAATAAATTATTGAAAATCAATAGTTCTTAGGATTAGATCACTGGGTAAATACAATTTCACTATTAATATATAATATTTAAATATAATATTGTATAGTGGTTTCTTACGTCTAACGGCTTCGGTCGCCTAACTTGAGGTTTTCTGGACCTCGAGTTAGATAGGGGCTCGTCCCCTGAACCCCCGGGGCTAAAATAGCCAACCTGCAGGGGGAGTAGGTGTGAGTTCGACACCTCCGGAGTCGTGAGTGGAGGAGGAAGAGCATACCTGCTCTTCGGGCAGACGGATAATCTAACACGTAAACTTAACCTTGTTCATTTAAGTAACACAAGTATAGAGTGGCTTATGGGACCACCTTCTGCCTGCCAGCTCCGGTCGCCAGCCTCTAGATCCGGTAGATCCTTCGCGCCATAGTATAAAAAAAAAGAAGTATGATTAACACGAATACCGTAGCGTATACGTGGGGCTGAAAAAGAGACCTAAGAATAAATGTTTATGTGTGACGACGCTTTGTGTTTATTGTTGGTTGTCTATAAAAATTATACATTGCCCCTTATAAAAATATGCAGTCTTATCATTGAGCATTGACTTCGTTTTCCTTAAATTATGCTGCACTCGACATTAAAGTAGTATAAACGCGTAGGTAACATCTCAAACTTTGGAAGACTACGCGTATAACTTCCAAAGTAATGGTTTCCGCCAATTAATTTTTGAGCCATAGTTCTCAACTCGTTGTAATTTACATAGGTTTCCGAAAAAAAATTGAAAAATTGAAGTGGGCCCTAAACTAAATTTATAAAAAAATATACTATTATACTATATTACATATTTATATATAAAGCACAAAACAGGGTAGCGGAACTATGTTTATTCCATCTTTAAAATGTCTGCAAGTGGGTAGGTACTGCAGTGCCCCAGTGCGTACTTCCTTCCCTTCCCAGATTACGTCCGTGTCAACTATTGAATATAATATAAAAAAAGCTATGTCAATAAAAGTATTAATCTCATGACTCATTTTAACGTAAAATTGTATATAAAGCCATCTAAACTCTTCTAGTCTTCTCTGTTTTTCCACCACTTTATAGAGAAACATCCAGAATTCTGAAAACCACGTGTTTTTATCTTTTTAAATACAATCTTTGAATTAATTAACTTTTAATACTCTTTTAAACCGTTATCGTCACTGTTTTTTTGTATTGTTACCTACCACTGGCAATGACCGGACTTCAGGTCATGACCCACCTCCAACCCCTACAGGGCTACAGGTTACGATGTCCACCTGGCACCAGTGGCACCAATGCAGCAACTGTTTACCTACCAACCAACTAACAGTTTCCCAGAATACCGCTCTTATTTAATATGTAATAAAATACGTGTGTTAAAAAAAAACTAATAAACGTATTATTATAATGATAAGGTTTGATTTTGCTAATATTATGTCATCACCTACTTTTATATTATTTTCAGTTATGAAAGTTTGAAATGTATCAGAGCAATCATAATTTTTTTTTCAATTTTTTTTTTTGCAATAAAATTAACTTTTCACAAAACCTTTAATTTTGACATGAACCGCAAATATATCAGCACCATGTGAATATAATCTTAGTTGGGAGGCCTTCAAAACATTAAATGTCAAACAATTGAACATCAAAATATTGAACGATAAAATCTTGAACATAAATTCATGTCAACATCTTAAACATTCAAAAACTTGATCACCAAAATCTTGAACAAATAAATAGTTTCCGTCAAAACTTTGAACTTTTTATTTTGTTATTATTAAGATTATCGGCGAGGTTAGGTTAGGTTTGGTGAATAAATTATTTCCCCCCCCTCCCTCCTAGATTTTTATCCAGTTAAGCCGCCGTGCATAATTGTACTAAAAAACAATCTTATGATTATTTTGATTTTAAGGGGCAAAAATGGGCAATAAGGGGTGCATCGTTAATGTATTCAGTACTAGCCGACCCGTTGCGTCTTTGCCTAGATTGGCTGTTTATTTTGCCTTAGGACGATGATATGTATAATTTTTTTATTCAAATATTAACGTTTAAAGTGATCGGCAAGTAATATAAAAACGGTCGATAAAAACATATTGAAATGTTTCTAGCGGTTTCTAATGATAAATATATTTTTATTAAAAATGAATACATATACAAAAGAAATGCTTATTAATCTGTTGTTGAGTCTATATTATTATTAAGATAAGTGATCGGTGTTTTCCATACAACTCTTATAATATTAAAACTATTAGATTAATTTGTAGGTTATAATTTCGGCGAGTATTTATTTACGATGCGTAAGCCATTGTAACTGTAGTAACTAGTAACTGATTGCTACTATAACTGTATAAAATTAAATTGTGGATAATAGACCACTCGTAGGAGTATTTGGACATTTAGTATAACTTTATACTTATTTTTTATTAACAAACGTGGTAATAAAACCTTCAGCAGACTGTCAAGTGTATCAGTAAAACATTTCGGCTAAATAGGTTCAGTGTTTTCTCCGTTAGCGCGTTCGTAGAAAACCCCCTACAACTTTATATAGTAGTAGAGATAATTTAACTTCATTAAAAATATAAAAATGATTATATCCTCAAATAATAGTATATTGCTTAATATACTGGGATTTGGTAGTTGTATATTATTTAAAAATAGAATAATAGGTACACATGAGTTGTAAACAGTGATATTGTCGAGTGACACATATTAATTTTAATTGTGCAATTTAAGTTACTAAATGGTTCAACAAACTGAAAAAATATCTCGATATAGGAGATTAACGTCATTAATATATATGTATTTATAGTTTATACCAAAAATAGTTTTAGTTTTTGAAGTTGGTTCCTGCATTTTTCGTTCGCATATTCAATACCCAAGAATTATTTCAGGAAATACAAGTCACAATTGTTACGGTTATAGCAGAAAATTGGAGTTCGATATTGCTGAGACATCGTATAATTTGAATGGCGACAACTTTTCAACAAGACCTATGTAAATATCTCACCATTCATTCTATACTTCTATGGTGGTTATTGTGAAATGGCTGATGTAGGTAAGATTTCCTTCTTAGTTCTGTATTTCAAGTTTCTTAAAATAATAATCTCAATGCGAAATTACCAACAGGTGTGTTCCCAGTAAAATTATTGTGCCTAGCTGTAACTATTCAAAGACTAGCAAGTGACCTGTCTTTTGCTCAAAAAAATTAGACTACTGAATGGTGGTACTGTCATACTGAAAGCGTATTTTGAGCAAAAGATCATCTTTTCATGTTTTAACAGCACAGCGCAGACAAAGCAGTCTTTCCTATTGCCGAAGTCCCTAGAGCATCTTAAAATGTATAGGGGCACAATGCACAATAATCCAAGAGTTCGAATTAACATTTGTATTCATCCATGGTAAAGTAAAATACTCTCTGGCCTGACATATGATCCTAATATATTTGGATATCTTATAAACATTAGATAGGTATTATGAGTGAAAATGTCGATTTTGCTAGATCTGAAATGGAAAGGCAAGACATCTGGCATAATATACTATAAATTCTGGTAAATCACAGATCACAATTTTTGCAACGTCAGCACAGTATAATATATACTTATTGGTGATCACCCAGAGCATGTTCACTTAATGAATCACATTAGACGATAACAGACTCATATTATAAATGGTAATCAATTCATATTAAATTATTATTAAATATTAATAGTTAAGATTCGTCAAGACATCACACCCACATGTATTATCTCCGTCTTACATATGAAACAACAAATGTAGGTTCACCAGTTTCAATAGTGCTGTTAGTTTTGATACTAGAGTGAATTTACCTATTATAAAATTTAAAGGTAAGATTATTATCGAGGGCCCATCGAAGACTTTTACTGATATTATTATTTTTAAGTAAGTTATGACTTTATTTAAACTCAGTTTACATTTAAAAATAATCATAACTTGTTATATAGATCTATAATATTGTATTTAAACAATTTAAAATTGTACAAAAATTTTAAGCTAAAGGTAAAAAAAAATGAAGACAAATTATTAAAAATAATAGAAAATAAATACTTTTTATTCTATACAAAAAATATTAAAATAGTAGTAAACCTATCTTTCAATTGTAAACATAAAATATTGTATAGGTACTATAATGAACCTGATAAAATAAAAAAGGTTCAAGTATTATGCTTTTACTCAATACTCTACATACAAATAATATTAATATATATACAAAATATACTGAAAACTTAAGTTAAAACTAGTCACTTATCATAATAATAAATATTATCTAATACTACAAAATAAACGAATAAACCCTTTCATACAATAAATACATGGGTGTAATAATCAAAAATGATTAATGTAACAGTCTTCCATAAATATATTTATACATTATCATATTATTATAATTTTGAGATATTAACACATATTAAATATAAACATAAACATTAATATTGAAATAATAATTTCTAAAATAATCTCCATATCGGAATGATAGTAATTTTTTTATTTAATTAATTAACAGCCAATTTGTCAGTCTTAGATACATAACAATTATGTATTGCCTGTAAAAAAACCATTTAAAATCAATATTATTAAACTAAAGTTTTAGTATTTTAAGATTATGTAATACAGTTACTACATTAAAAAATTAGCATTTAGCAAAAAAAAGGTAAATAATATAAGTTATACCAAATTATTCACTATCGGAGTCATCTACCAGATTAATGATATCGTCATTTGATACAGGATCAGGGGTAGGTTGAGAGACTAATACTTTTTTCACACGTGCAATATTTTTTTTCTAAAAAAAAATATATATTAATTACTTCAAAAATATTGAACAAATATTTTTAATACATACTTTAGTTGGAGAATAAGCTGTCCTTTTATTATTAACAATTACAGTTTTACTTGACTCAACACTTTTTACATGTTTTGCTTTACTATTTTCATTTAATTCAGCTAATAACATATGTTGATGTTCAACAACTCGATCGACCTAAACAAATAAATATAAATAAGGGTTTAATAATACTCAAATAAAAGTACAAAAGCAAATATTGTTTACCCATTTCAATTTTTCAGCATCTTCAATTTTTTCATATTTGCTTCCAATTCCATGTTTTTTAACATGCCATGCCATTTTCTTAGGAGAATCGGATATTTCAAAACATATCAAGCATTTCCATCTACAGAACACAAAATTTTTAATAAAATTATATACCAGAGGCGGCGAACCTTTTTGGAGTCAAGTGCTAAAACTTAAAATCCAGTATTTTGAAATATGCTCGAGTGCCAAAAAAAAATGAATTTTACTAGGTAAGATGAAAATAAAAAGCATGCAATAATTACACATATTTTATTAGGTACACATTTATTTGTAAACTTTCATTTCATAAATTAATGTGATGCGTGCCACTGAAATTTGGTCAACGTGCCACTTCTGGCACGCGTGCCATAGGTTTGCCACCCCTGTTATATACTAAAAAAAAATTAAGAAAAAAGAATTCTTACGTTTTATAGTTGACCTCTTTGTATAAGTGTTCACGGAAAAGTTCTATATTGATAGTTTCAAATACATGGCACTTAGGGCAAACAAAGTGACCATTTGAAGATATTGCTCCTAATTTATCATTCTTATTGAAAACGTCTATTAACGTTTTCTGTTTATGAGATTGAATTGGAGAGCTTTTAGTTGTTGATTTTGGACTTTTTGACACACCACGAGATTTATTGTATGTTTTCAATGGTGTTGATTCAATAGGAATTCCTCGGCAAGTAGGAGGCACGAGTGTAGGTTCAATACTTTCTAAAGCTTGCTGTTCCAGCATATTTTCAGTACCACCTAAATGATTGGACTGTTTGGGCAACACTTCTTTATCAGTAATCTAAACACACAATACACATAACTTTAGAAATTTAACTGTACATTATAGATTGAAATGTATTATAAGTTTAAATCGAGGAATCCCTTAAATTTAGGTACACCTTGAATTTAAAAATATCTGATCTAGTTGATTTCAAGCATTATGTACTAAAAAAAACAATCAAAAATCTACACTAACCTTTTCAAACACTCTTAAGCACTTAACTGCTACCGACGGATGTTGCAACTTATAATGTTCTTCAAATATATTAGGGTTATCATCCTTGTGTTCAAATTGACACATAGGACATTTAAACATATTTGATACTTTATGAGCCATAAAAATATGTGATGTTATCTCATTTTCTGTATATCTTAAGCCAGTAGAACATATATTGCATATCCATTGAGACACATTAGATGGAGCTGTAATGTAAAATCAAATAATTGATAAATTGATTTTTTTTCTGAATTAATAAGTTAATTTCAAATAAGTTATAATAGTTACCTTTGCTTCTACCTCTGTCAATAGTATCATCTTCCAACATTGTTTGTCTGATTACAATAATATTGGATTGTACTGAACTAGTTATTTCTGATAGATGGGTATTTCTCATGTGTGTTCTCATTTCAACTCGATTAAAGTCAATATAATCACAGTATTGGCAGCGATATAAATTTTCACCATGATGCATTAAATGAAATTCTATTTGATTTCGTTCGACAATTTTAGATATAATGCAGGTAGGTAAACAATGTGGACATCTATGAAAATAAATTGATGTACAATAAACAGTTACTTTTATCAAAAAAAAATCATAATTTCAAAAAAATTTTATAATTAACTCACATGTAACACTGATAGGTAGGATGAAGGATTGATATATGAGTCTTTAGCATATCGTCCGTCATACCTGTGTAAGTACAAAGAGGTATTGAACATTTATACCGCACATTTTTTGAAATGAACTGTGGAAATATAGAGATATTTAAATTGCCATCTGGGGCTACTTCAACAATTTTCTTATCAAGTTCATCTCTTTTCATCTGTAAAATAATATAATTAAATATTGTTTGCTTATTAAAAATGTAGGTAAATCACAATCCATGTAAAAATGTTAATTCTTATTTTAAATTCTGAGAAGGAAATTTTAGTTAAATGTAACATAGTTTGAGATAATACAAAGAGGAAGTGTCCAAAATGTACAATATATTATTTCTTATACATTGGAAGTTTAATTTAGTTTTTAGTATTAGTAACTACTACCTAGTAAACATCACTGAAACAAAAAAATAAATAGATTATTTAAATCAAATTACACTCTTATTTCATACATTTTTAAGTTCTATCAAGATTTAAGAATTTAAAATTCATTTAAAACCATTCTCAACCAAATATCTATCAATCAACCACTAGGAAATTATTAAAACACTATTAATTCAGCTTAAAACTTTAGACATGTATAAATTAAATTTTTTTAAACTCTAGTCCAGACGAGAACCACATTTTGGGGTCAACTTGTAAGCGGGATGTGGCATTATTATACAGTAAATACAGAAGGTTGATTTGGTTGGGATCACAAACGGGTGATAACTAACAGCCACCCAGGTGACTGACAAAAATTAAGCACTGCTGAGTACAGTACTGAACTAAATAGAATATAGAATATAATAGAATATACTTATCATTAAAATCAGTTTAACAATAATTTAAATATTGTAATTCTATAATTCACGATTAACAGGTATTATTTTTTAAGTTTAAATCAATATTTCATTAATTAGAACAACCAACTATAAACAAGAAAAATATGCACAAAAAAAATCAACTATACAAATAATAATGAAAAACGCTCACCTTTTCAGTATTCATAGCATCAAATGAACTCGCAGAGAGATTGATCATCTTATCAAACATAAGTTCAGACTTGCCAATAGAAGGTACAGGATTAACAATTTCCTTGGTAGTATTATCTTGTCCTTTTGTATGTCCATTCAAATGTATAATAAGATTGGACCTCACTTTTGTATTGTACGCACATAATAAACAACTAATCGGATCTGAGAATATATGAGACTTTGGAATACTGTCCATAGTATCAGGAGAAAAAAACAAATTTTTTGATTTGTTTTTAACAATGGGTTTTGCCTTTAGTGATCCTTTCTGGTTGCCAAAATTCTAATACATAAGAAACATAAAAAAACATACAGACAAAATCCTAAAAAGCTTAGTATTGGTAATTGATTAATTTTAAAAACTAAGCAATTAAGCAGTAAAATAAAATAATAACTCACAGTAGAACGTTTTCTTTTCAAGGTTGTATTTTGTTGAGGCATTAATGAATTGACAGAGTTATTCATATAATTTGGTTGTTCTTGCGTTATCTTATATACATTGTCTCCACAATCCACATCTTGCTCAGCATTATGAACTGCCTTCATATGAGAAATAATAATTTTACGAGTTTTGCCCTTAAATGAACACTTGTTACAAGTTAACATATTTATTTTTAGTTTCTTCTTCTGAACTGTCTTATCTTCAAATACAATAAAATCATCTTTATTAAAATCGGATAAATTAGGACGCTGAGGTACAAAATCTATATGTATAACTTTGTGACTATTTCTCATATGATGTGTAATAGCTCGATGGGATGGTAGTTTTAAATTGCATAAGTAACACTTAAAACGATCAGGTCCATGAAGTTTGATATGTTCAGTCATGTTTAATGCAGTTTTGAATACTTTAACACAATACGGACATTGCTGACCAGCCACACTATCCCAAAAGGGACATACGTTTAAGTGGGCAAAATACTTATCCCCATCTGAGAAAACTTCTTCTACAAGACAAACATTTTAAGTAAGTAACAAAATTATTTTTCATTAACAATTAAAAATAATTTGACTGAATACTTACCACATTCATTACAAACAAACAATTTATCCAATTCAATAACTGGAAATGCCAATCGTTTGGCCTTCTTTGATCCATTAATTGATTCTTCGACCTCTAAACATATTCTTTTTGTAGGACCCTCATTAAGTTCTTTCTCGGACAAATCAACGTCGTCTTCATCATCAATAACAATAATATCATTATTTGATGACACATTAGGCTCTTTTTCCTTGTTATTAGATTCAGACCAAATGCGATTTATTTTAAGTGTTTCATGCATATCATTTTGGTTCACATCATCAATCATAATAAATTCATTATCAATAGCTAACGGCATCGAAGTACTACTTTCTGCCATTTGCGCACTATCAGGAACTGTAATAACTATTGTATCTGATGGTTGAGATCCTTCATCAATGCGAGCAGACTTCATAGCTACTGATAGAACATCAGGACACTCAATAGATCTTTTTTTAGACCGCTGTGGCACAACTTCAGGTACAGAGATTGTTTCTGCAGGTAAATTTACTGTCTCTACTATCCCATTGTCAATAACTTTTTTCAATCTTAAAATTTTTAAATTTCTAATATTTTTAGATTCCTGTAATAGTAAGCATTTAAATGATTAAAGACATTTCACTGATGTTATTATTTATTCATTATTTTGATTAAATATTCGTACACAATTATCAGATACCGTAGAACGCTCCAAGCATAAAGGCTCATATTCAAAATGTTCAAACGCTAAATGCTTTATCATTGAATCAATAATTTCACTACCAAACAAGCAGAAAATACATTGATATTTGTTTAAGTTATGAAGCTTAAAATGCTGTAAAAAAAAAGAATTAATTATCGAACATTTTATTTTCATTGTGAAGTATAATTTTTATTATTCTATCTCATAATTACATGATTTACAAATTATTTTGATCTCATAAGTTAGTATTATGCATATGTGTACAACTGATGAAAAGTAAAAACCTCACAATTAAAATCTGAAGGTGAAAACTGTAAAACCTGATAAACTTTAACAAATAACTAAACGATGGGAAATAATTTTAAAATAAGCCATGTAAATATTGATAGTTAAGAGATTGAAGATTTCATTCTTTGTCAAATCTGACATATGCTTACTGTAATCATTAAACTTGGATGGAGTGCAAAAAATCCTTCACCGCCGTCATCTTTAGTAGCACAAATGTAACAACAGAATTTATCACACTGTTGATGCTCTTGATTCAAATGCTCTACAAACTCGTTATGCAGATAGCAAGAAAAACCACAGCAACCTTAACAAATCCGAATTAAAACAAAGTTTGTTAATGAAGATGTTAAGAACTAAAAATGAACTATTTCTATATTTGTTGTTATCAAAAATAAAATAAGTATTAATGTTCACTCATCGACAACAAAACGAGTATACGATATCATTGAAGTTTAGCGGCCATACATGGATAATGTATATTATAATATGTTATTATCCATGCGGCCACATTATGCCTAGTGCCTACAGGCTACAAGGGTAATGTTTACAAAATAAACAATATTTATTATAACTGATAACAGATTTAATTCTAAGTTTTCCATCTGAGTACACTGGACCACAGACTAGAGCACCCGGTAGGCGTTTGCATGATGTAATTATTATCACCAGTGTAGTAGATAAAGCAAATTTCATATTATGACCATACTGTGTAAGATATTTTTATCTACCCAAGTGCAAAAAAATGGTACAACTTATTTTGACAGTATGGTATCGCAAATTATTTTATATTGATAACATTCTATTCCACTTACACCAGTGTAGCGTAGTTACCAAGTAGTAAGTGAACCCTGGGGTGTGGTGTCAGCTTATATCATACACAAATTAACTTTAATAAACTTTAATATTAGAAATATTGTTACATCTGTGACCGCGTATACCGCAAATTAATTTAACAATTGGAAAATGCTACTTAATATAAATTATGATATTATATTATAGATAACCGGACCAGTCGCACCACTATAGATAAATAATGGCCCAAGTGCGTTACGAATAACCGGAAAAACGATCTTTGTTAAACCAACGTCAAATAAATATGTTCTTATCAAAATATACAAAAACGTACTCCAGCTAGCGCTTCCAGCGGAAATTGTGGTGTACATACCATAAACCTATAAAGAAATGGACTGATAACAGAGTGGTCCCGGGCCAACATTGTCAGAAAAATAAAGCATTAAACATAAGTACCATATTATTACCATGTATACACATATAGTGAGAGAGCAACAAAGATAATAACATTTTTTTTAAAAAGATGGCATACACCTTAGTAGTTATATCACATTACATTACACAGGTATTAACTATGCCTTTCTAACAATGTCGGCTCTTGGATTTTTTTCCGCGGTTCAACTACCAAATTATTTTAGGAGAGCAAGTGCTCCCCTGCTATATGAATTTGTCTATGGGTATGTACCATGGACTTAATTAATACATGGATTACACGTCCCCCATACCCTGGCTACTATAGGTTTCCAACAGGGTTGGACTAGCCCATCGGGGACCGGGAATTTTCCAGGTGGGCCGCAGCAATAAGGAAATCTTACCACTGCAGCTAAATCGGACAGCGAGTCTGAGGTGATGAATGATCTTAATAAAAGAACCGGCAAAAAAATAGAATTTCCCGATACACATTTTGGGGCTAGTCCATCCCTAGTTCCAAGTGCCAACATTGTTAGAAAGACATAGTCAATAACTGTGTAATAAAATGGGACCTAACTACCTAAGGCGTGAATCGCAGAAAAAGCCTACGAAAATAAGCCCAGAAAAAACCCAACCGAAAAAAATCTACCGAAAAAATGTAAATACTAATACAAACACATTATACATAATATATTGTGTTATACGTTATAATGTATACTTAAAAAATTGTTTTATAAATTGAGTCATTATTTAGTTAATAATATATAGAACCTACAGTCAAACAAAAAACAACAGTCTTAGCATTGATTATAAATAAATATATTATTATTTATAACAATGGTCTTATTGGCATATACTATACTTAAACAAAACTTACACAACTATAATAATAATAATAATAACAATAATACAAGTCAATACAAAACAGGTGGTAGTACGTATAGTATTAGTTCGTTGCTCAAGTTTAATACAAAGGGAATGGATACGCACAACCTACAATTTTTTTTTGTATTAATTTTAGTAAAATCGGCTTCTAGACCATTAGTTTTAATAATTTTACATTTATGATTATTATCTGTTACCATCTACTATTACTTATGCTTTAATTAAGTTTATCACCGGAGAAGGTTTTAAGCCTATCTCAACCCATATGGCAGCAAAACGGTAGATCACACATGCATTTTTTACAGGTCACAAAAAAAACCATACTCTTTATATTTATTTAAAGATGATAACATATAACCATTGATTATAAATACTAGTATTTATAATCAATGATATTACATTACCTACAATTATATTATAAAATATTATAATTAGTATAAATATAACCATTCACATTTTTGTTTTAAACGAATATTTGGCAAGGACAACGTCGAGCAGAACAGGTAGTATACTATACCTAAGACTCATATATTTTAATTAGACACATTAAATTAGTATGAAGTTTTTCCTACACTTAAAACAAAATAAAAAAAAGCTGGTAAGTCGGTAAAGTTCTGTTGTACAGTAGGTTACAAGTCCTTTATCTTGGGAAACCACACCACCGCAGTGGCGATAAATTGAGTTCAGACTTATTTTATCGCCACCGCAGTCAGGGCCGTATTAGCCAATAGGCACTATAGGCACTGTGCCTAGGGCCTACGAACATTTTAGGGCCTACGAAAATGAAAACCTTGACGGAAAAAAAGCTTATTTAAAATTAGACGAAAGATTTAATTTTTTAACTAACGAGAGTTTAAAAGATGAAGAAATAAAAATAAAGGCAAATAATTTAGTTGAAGCCTATAAAACCGATTTAGAATCTTCATTTGTTAATGAGTTTTTGATTTTTAAGAGCTTTCGAGAAACTGGGATGTCTGTTAATGAAATGCTAATTAAACAAATAAATAAAAAAATGGTAACAAGTTTTCCAAATGTAAACATTGCTTTTAGAATATATTTATCAATTTTTGGAACTTCGTGCGAAGGTGAAAGATCATTTTCAATTCTAAAGAGGGTTAAGAACTATCAGCGGTCAACTATTAGACAAGATAAATTATCATCATTATCGATACTTGCAATTGAACACGAATTAATCCAAGACATCGATACCGAAAAAGTTATAGAATCATTTGCAAACAAAAAATATCGTGAAAAAACATTTGTAACTATAAATTTATATTAAGAGATATTCTACATAATACTGTTATTTTTAATTTGTTACAATAAATTATCTTTTGTTTTATATTTAAATACAAAGAACAAAATGAAAAATGGTATAAAATAAGTTGTTTTGTATGGTTCCTGCAGTTTCATTTTAAATAATATATTTTGAGTAAAATAAAATGTATTTTTAGATGTGTTAAAATTGTCATTAGATAAAGTTATGATTATAAAGATTATATTTGATTTTCAGGTTGTAAATATTTTTGATTTTAAAGGCTTAAAACACTGCGAAAAACACTACCTCTCCCAAAAATTAGGTTTCTTAATCATTTAAATACTGAACACTACAGAACCGTATTAGTACATGATGGGTAATAAAGAACTGTGCCTAGGGCCTACGATAGTGTTAATCCGGGTCTGACCGCAGTGTGTGGGGAGGAGGACCTTAAATAACTACTTATTCTGAAAACTTCATCATGTACGAACAAAAACAGTACAGGCAGTAATATCAAAAAAATTCCAAATCCCTAAAATTGTTTTTTGAATAACCACAAAACTAAAATCTTAAATTTCCATTTAAATATCTAATTTCATCAAAATATGTCTATAAATATCTAAAAAAAAAATGTTGTACCTTTTTTTCGATAATTTTAAAATACTGTAAGATCAACTCATGACAAACCTTGCATTACATTCCCAAACGTCAGTTACTAGAATTGACTATTATACAAACGATTAATCAAAAAATAATAAATACATTTTAGTGATTTCGACGAAATTTGTTAAAAATTGAAATTTTCGTGCTATATATAATTTACGCATCTAAGTATAATCTTATAATTAAATATTTATTTGCTTTGAACAAATTTAAAAATAAATGTATATTAAACGATATAGATTCGTTGAATATAAAGCGCGGCGCAGGTGCTTGATGTTCAAAGTACATCCGGTATTGCCAATACCAATATGAGTAATGCGTATTATTTATTAATTCATATTTTTACTTTTTAGTAAACGTTACATTAATCATTTTACAATTTAAATAGAATTAAAAAAATATTAACGCAAATATAGTTGCATCCCACAGATAACCACGAAAAAAGTATAATTCTAATTACAACCCAGGTTTTGGTACGTTATTTCAGCCTTTTTTACAGTACCTATACTAACTTCAAATTGTGGCTCGATTTAAGTTAACTATTTTAAAATTTGTCTATTAAATATCTATTAGTAGATTATAGGTTCATACATATAATATTATAGTTTCGGTATAGGGTTAATAGCAACAATCGGTAATCATAATTCATAATATTACAGAGTCTACAACAATTTTACTGTTCATCATTTCATTACATTCAAAACACTCCTATCATATTGTATTATAGATTACTGTTAAGAGGACGTGATACCTGCATGTTTTGTCTCAATCTTACAAGTGCGTAACATGGCAAATTTTACGCTCAGCAGAACACGTGTAGCTCCGTTAGTTTAAAAATTAGTGCGAATTGACCTCTTATAAAATCTAAAGGTAAGATTATTATCTAGGGCCTAGGCAAACCTCGTAGGTTTTTTATTATATTTTAATTTTAACGCGAGTTATGAGTATTTTAAAATTGTAAATTTGTATACATCTTAAAATACATATAACTCGCGTTAAAATAAAAATATAATAAAAAGCCTATGAGGTTGCCTAGATAATAATCTTACCTTTAGATTTTATAAGAGGTCAATTCACTTCAATTTTTAAATTAACGGAGCTACACGTGTTCTGCTGAGTGAACAATTTGCTATGTTACGCACTTGTAAGACGGAGACAACACATGCGGGTATCACGTCCTCTTAGGAGGATAAACACCTGTACATACACAATTTTACATTCACAATAATACATTTTACTAAGTAAATTCTAAAAATAAAGTGAAATGACTTTTCATAAAATTTAAAGGTAAGATTATTACCTAGGGCATGCATCTCATAGGATTTTATATTTTAATTATAAAACTGTTATGAACTATATTTACTTTATTTATATATGTATATATATTACGCATATGTGTTTACAACATTAATATTTTCTCTATTGTGGTATACGTATACGTATGAATTAAATTAATGCACATAACATTACATCCACGACGCGGTTATAAAACCAACGAATAACGATCGATCAACAGTCTCTTTACTTACGAGTATATTATAGAAGGTAAATAAAAGTTAGGGGGAAATTACAGCGATAATAGTTATTAGTTGATTAGACTATTAGAGTATTAAAGTTTGTGAGACAATATTATTATAGTATACTTAACTAAGTGTCTAGAAGTAAGCCAGTAGTCTTCGACACCAAGCGGCACGTTATTCCGTATTTGTTGTGTAATATTGTATAATATAAGAAACTATGAAATATATCAATACTTTTTTCAGTAGTTTATATTAATAACTAAATGAAGTTGGATAATAATAATCTAACAAAAATATAATCAATTATATTCGGAATTATTTAGAGAAGTTAATCAAATGCCGCCATTGAATAAATACTAATATTTCAGGTAAAAATGTATATAAATAATCAATAGTTACAAAGTCAAGTCTCCACGTAAATTTTATTCTTGGTTCCTACGTAAGCGTATAGCCGATTGCGCTACTCGGTCTTATTCCCTCCTCTTACGTGATCGGGTAAATCGACCGAGTCATGCACTCGAGCTGTTGGTGCCCCGAAGTGGCAGTTAATAGGGACAAGCATCGGCTGTACTCTTCAGCAATGTTCAATCCAGGCATACTTCAGGGCGGGCATTGCCACTTCCGAAATTCCCCCCCCCCCACGAAGACAAATACAACTTCTAACAAATTGTACAATACTTGTGACGATAACCTCACCTAATAGTGTTCTGTAAAATATGATTTATTTTTTATCAGTTATCGCGACTACTCAGCGAGATGTATTGAATGGTGATTATTATTAGCATTGGTGTGGGGATTTCTTTTAGATAAGTAACATGAGTAACATTGACGCTTTTTTTCAAGAGCATGGTGTTTTACCTATAAGACGACTATATGGGTGTGATCACGAAGCTTAACTGTACTCGGAAAACAAATATTTTGATTTTTGGAAAAGTAATATTAAATTGTGCCCTAAGAAAGTAAACATGGGAGTCGGTAATAGTGTTGGCAGTCACATTTCACTTTACACATTGTCGGGCTGAAGAAATGACTTCTTTAAAATGATGTCAAACACAGTTAAATATGTGTGCCGATACTACTGTATACTGGAATGATTCCATGCGAGAAACATGTGTTTCAAGCCTGAAAAGTCGTAACGTAAAAATTGGTGGTCCTGGAAAAATAGCAGTAATTGACGTGTCTTTTTACAAGACGTAAAAATAATGCTAGTAATTACACCTCAACAATGGATTTTGGGAGACATTTTTCGGGAAACGATGGAATGTTTTTTAGTCGAAGTTAAAGATCGGTCTGCTTCTACACTTATACAAGCAATAAAAGATAATGTGTAATTATAAACCATAGCACAACTATTTATTCTGATTGTTGGCGTGGTTATAAAATAGATGAACTACAGAACGCTGGATTTCAGGCATTTAACCGTTAACCATACTTACAATTTTGTCCATCTTCAAACTGGTGCTCACACACAGAATGTCAAAGGGTTAAAATTAAAATTATAAGATATTAATTTTAATCAATTAGCCTAGTTGTTCGTACATGCATGTAGTTTCGTAACATAAATGCCAAAAGAAACATAACATTTTTTTTTTCACAAAATAAAAAACTTCAGAGCCTCAAAATTCTTATTATGACACAGACTTAAATGAATAGCCAACGCCTATCTTTACAAACAAAGGTAATGAAAAAAGATTTTATAATAAAAATCATTTTTAGAACAAGTAATAAAAGAGATGGATCGTCGATTTAATGATACTGCAATTACTCTCTTAGAAGGGCTGCTACTTCTTTGTGTACTGGAGAGCTACATTTCAAAATATGACTTCCACTAATAACTAACTAAAAATTGAAAATAGAAAAAAAAACTTACCAACGTTGCATTTATAAGGCAATACAAACTCTTTAAAGTCTACCACCAATAACATTTCTTTTGGGTATTTACATGCACCATCATCATATTCAAGTTTTATTATACAATGTTTGGATATGTTGGTATGAACTACAGACTGAAAATATACAAATATTTTTATACACAGGAATTATTAATTCTAAAATTATAGATAAAATAATATTACCTGATGAACCAAAACATGAGAGGCAGTATAAGCGCGATAAAAACAATGAGGGCAAAAATATTCACAAAATGAGTATTTTTCAGCAATGTGATCAGCCAAAGATTCTTCATTGTCAAATGCTTTAAAGCAATAGGCACACATTTTAAACTGTTCAACATTGTACATTTGGTTTTCTGTAACACACACAGATTAATAAGAAAAAATAATATTACTTTGTTCGAATAAAAATAGAAATAAAACTTTTTACTTTTTTTTTTTTCTGCATTTGAAAAATGTAATTTCATATGTAATTTAAATAAATCTTTAGAGTTGAAAATTTTTGTGCAGGATCTGTCCATACATTTAAAAAGACCCAATAGTCTTGGTAGAGCAGACATTTCATTCAAAGCTATTCGTGTTTTCATCACATTCATCGGCAAATCTCGTACTTTTCTAATATAATCTTTTGTATATGCTGTGTCTATTAAGCAAATTGTACCACCTACGGGCACACCATTATTAACAATTTGTTGACCTTCTTCAAGAAATATTTCGGAATTCGGAAGAACAACTTCACAATTTGTTTTTGCTTTCATCCACATATTAAGATCATTGTTATCAGAAGCACTTGAGTTTATATTAGAAGTCTTTACTTTTCCCTAAACATGATGAGTAAAATCAAACATTAGGTCTACAAAAATGTATATTTCTTATTTTAATAAAAAAATTATGTACCTTTTTTAAACTCTTAATATCCGAAATTCGTGAACTCAATAATGGAAACCTTTCATCATTAGAACCATGATTAATGTTTGGATTCACTATAATATCATACATACAAAAAATAAAACAGCATTAATAAATAATTTTCTGTTAGACTATTGTACTTAAATAATAACTGATGTGCAGCGTCTAGTTTAATTGTGGCAGCAACTTGTAACATAATATTAAAAATAAAATAAATTTTTGTTTTTAGGAATTATAGGACAATCAAGAATTTATTATTGTTTGGAATTTTATTAAAACTTAAAACTTATACAAAATATCTGCTATTTAACTTACTACTTCTATTTATTTTTAGATAATTTCGAAATATATTTTTTTTAGTTCCATTTACTTACAGAACTAAGTCTGACATAAATATAATTTATTTTAGGTAAGGTAGTTTTAAATAACTAATAAAAAAGGCAATTTGTAGCTGAAGGCTGAGGATTATTTTTTATTTATAAATACTTGATTAAAAAAGTTTATGTACTGTTCTTATCTTTATACAAAAAACCTTAAAATAATGTAAGTCTTAATCAGCTCAATGGTATTTTGCCACATTATACTCAATCAAATTAATTTGTCAGACAGCCAATACTATAGTACTCATTATAAAATAAGTCGTAAAATGGCATAACTGTTAGAGCAGTTGCGTTTCTTATGGCTTCACCACATAAGAAATTATCTCATTTCATATGATTTGGGCGAAAAAAAAATCAAATGTTCTAAAAAATCTCTAAAAACTCTATAGATATGCAATTACAGCGACTTCAAAATTATAGGCAAGTGAATAATTTCTTTAGCGGCCATGTCCGTCAAAGTGTTAAGAGTATACTTAGCAGCAATAAAGTTTTGATCGGTAAAGCAAGTTGGGCAACACTTGTTAGTACGCTTACTGTGATAATATTACACACATGCGCACATTTTGGGTCAACAAGTAAGATCCTTAAATCAAATAGAGTAAAGAATGCCAAAAACTCAAAACCCTCATTTCTCCCAGAATTTAAGAACCCGATCTATAATCAGAACACTTTTAAAATTTTTTAATTATGGTTTGTATCAAGAATTTAAATTGGAAATAGACATTAAAACAACTAAGATTCATACTAAAATTAATTTAAAATCCTATCTAGTTTTTATTAAGTATAATAGTTAATAATATGTTTTATAAATAAATAATATAATGTAAGTATTTATTACCGTTTTTCATTATGGAATTGTTATCATCATTTACTGATTTATTAACAGCCACATCACAAATATTGGTAATACTTGAACTGCTAGATTTACCTGTAAAAAAACCAAAACATAGATACATAAATATTATTTATTTATTAAAAAACACTTTTAATTATACATATTTCTTCAAATAATGTTATAAAAATATGGAGTAAGCTTTCCATCAGTGAATTTACAAGTATAGTATGAGGTCTATCACAAATAAAAATATTTAAAAAAAAATAAATATCATAACTAGTAAAATAAATTACTTATTGGTTATAACTTGTAAATTCTAATGTATATCAATTGTCTCTAATATGTGGAATATTGTTAAATAAAAATATTTTGCCAACATATTGAATGTATGCCAGCCAGTGTATAACGTCGCGACACAATAAGTAATGCACTGACTACTGAGCGTCTGAGTAAATAATTTTAAGAAATGATGAAGCATTACTATCAAAAGTCATAAAGTATAAGGCCATAAAGATAAAGTCCAGTGTCGGCCATGGCCACCCCATTTTTTGGAAGTAGACCACATACTATATGACAACCAAAACATAAAAGCATTAGATAAATATAATGCATGCTAGGTAATTATTAATATAATAATAAAAAAAGTATAATACAAACAACATACAATCATATAATAGATGTTTTAGTTTTATCAATTGGTCAAAATGCAAATGCTAATAAGTGAGAATATATGATGTAATACAAGTTTTACAAAAGGTTAACATTGTACCATACCACATCTGTGGTGTTTGTCAAAGGAATGCAAATCTATAACAATATGGGTCTTGTTAAATGTATAAAAAACAAAACCATGGTTAGATATTATTCAAATAAATAGAATTTTAGTTAGTTCTTCTATATCTATGTAAGCAACAACACTTGTTAACATTCTTATTTTATAAATAATTTTTTATAAAAGGTGAATATTATGTTTCCAATTTCTATATATTTTAGAAATAAATTAGTTGATTATCTACACAACTTATTTAGCTATATATTATTGGTATTTTTTTTTTTTATTTGTACAAATTATATTGTTTATTTAGAAATTATTTACATTGAAAATATAATAACGGTGATTAAAAAATGTATAAATAATCAGAAAAAAAAAGGACAGTCTGTCAGCGTAATATTATATAATAGTATTTATAAACACAGAAAAAAAAATAAAATTGTTATTTTCTGTTTAAATATTTAATTTTGTCCAAATTTGAAATCAAACATCTATAAAAATGACAGTTTACATAATTTTTGGATTTTTTGTGTACTGTATAAAATACAAACATTATTTTTATAGAATTTTTTTATGAATTTCCAACTCAAACAATTTGAGAATTTTTGTAATTTTCACTAGTTTGGTAAAAATTCTTACTTAAGATGCTTTTAACCAAATTTTGCGAAAATTGGATGAGACAAGATAAAAACGTACAAAAATCCTGGCCATTTATTTTCATTTCCTTTCAACGATAAGAACATTATTTAATACAATTTTTAAAAAAACCTATGGAGGGATCTGACCCCCATTTCTCCCTTATATATGCCTTTGCATTTAAGAGGTCAAATCTAATTAAAATTCCTAGTAGTTTTCAAAAGTTCTTGGAAAACATAAAAATGAGAAATTTTACCCAAAATCTCTTTTGTTTTGTGCTGTTACTCAAAAACAAATAGATACTTGATATTTTTTGCAAATATTTCTATTAGAATTTTCAAAATATTTGAAGTTTTTGACCATCAAATAGTTTATAAATATGGTACAAGGTTCATCATAAACTGTTATAACACTTGAAAATCATGAAGGATATATCAGCAAGATTTGTTTTGTAAGCATATATAATATATATATATATATCCTACCTTAACCCCAAAAAAAAATTAACCGGGAACTAAAATTAATTTTTGATATGTGTTAGGAGTTAAAATTTTTTTGACATTGGATATTCAGTCATAAATTAATGAATTCTAATCGAAAGATTTTCCTGTTGTTATGAAAAAAAATTACAGTAGATACTTGAAATTTTGACCAAAAATTCATTTTATTATTTTATCATCAGAATATTTTGACTCGTTTAAGCCTTGAGGTAATTATTGATATTTTCAATATTCAATTTTTTTTTTAGCTGTTCTATGAATGATAGTAATTTTTTTCTATTAATATCTAAGATTTGAAAATTGAAAACAAGATCCCTCTTAAGTTGTCATAATAGCAGTTGAAAACTATTAAAAATCCCTGAGCATGATTTTTTTTTTAAGCATTTAAAGTTCAAATATTGACAATATTTATTAAAATCTTTAAAATGTGCAAATTATTTAGTGGTTGTGCATGAAGACAGAAAATTTAAAACAAGGTTTCTCACTAAACCAAGAAATCTAAAAATATATAAACACAGTTTTATTTTATAGATATTTTAAGTTAAAATTTGGATGAATTATTTGAACATAGAAGAAAGATAGTAATTTAAAAATATTATTCAAGGGTTCTTAAAACTTTTATGGCATATTTTAATATTGAATACAAATGTAATTCATTGTCAAAAATTAATTTAACTTTACTATATTACTAATGTCCAATAGTAAAATAAATTACTTTAGTAACAATATGATAAAATATACTTTGTAATATAATAGGCAGTTCAGAGTCATTTTTTATATACTACATCATTTTATATAAATATACATAATATACAATATCATTAAATTCAAATTTAACCCATCCATTACAGCAAACCTACTGTACAGCAGAGCTACTATCCTGGTTTTTTTAAAATTGTTATTGCGTTAGTTTATTATTTTCATAAATGACCAAATTGCACCCATTCAAAATTTAAAACGGTACAAATAGGATCAACAATAAAACAAAAGAAATTTTTTGTTCTATTAAATGTATTGCGTAATATTGAAGAAGTTTCTAGGTCTAAACGCATAATCACATAAACCCTGTCCAAAATGAGATCGGACCTCAGCGGCCGAGTTTTGTGCATGGGCGTGGCTTTGATCAGTGGCAGTGTCTGCTGCTGTAGTGGGGGACAGTGTCAGACCATCGTGGAACGAAAACTAGTCGCCACCGAGACCCGAACTCATCTTGAACAGACTATAGTAATAATATTACTATATGGCAATGGTTTCAAACCAGTGTTTCACAGAACATGGGTACTCTGTGAATTTAGGGAAAGTATTTCATCTAAATTCGAAAATCAGTGAAAAAATGAAAACATTTATAAAAAAGAAGAATTTTTAGTTTCATTATCTTAACAATTACTTTATTTTCTATTGAGTAATAAACTGATATGTAAACTGTTATTTTATATTATATAAGTACTGTTTTTTTTTAAGGCTGTGATCAGCAAAAGTTATATAAAATTATAAGTGTTCCATGGTTCTGAAAACGTTAAGAACCACTGCTATAAAGAATAAGAAAATGTTAACTTACGAATGGATAATGTATCACCAGGCAAATTACGAACTCTCACTAGAACTGGAGTATTTTTGACAGTATCATGACAAGAGGATGAACTTTCAATCTTTGAATCTCCAAGATTTGCTGAGCGATATAATTTTATTATATTAAAAAATGTACAAAATATTGATAACACAATTAAGTTTTACATACCTAAAGTAGTATCCGGATGTTGTTCACTATTCTTTAGGACCAAATGATGAGCAATTAAATGTTCTAACGCATTTCTTACATAATATTGTTCAGAAGCTGTCTGGGGCTTTTCATGGCACGCTTCGCAATTCCCATCCCATTTTACAAATGAATGATTCTTATTTATATGCTTGGAAAAATCAATCAAAACTACAGTTGAAAATTGATTTTCTAGGCAATTTGATACTGAGCATTTAAACAATAACATTGAATTTATCAATTCACAACTTAACCCAGATAATACACATTTTTCAGATTTATCTTTTAATGTGTATTCAGAATATTCAATCACGGGCTGTTCTGTGCTGATTCTTATTTCTTTTGTAAGAGCTAATAAAAAAAAAATCAGTTTTTAATAAATACCGATAATCCTTAATTGTATACTTATGTATACTTACATTTATTGGCTTGTTCTGTTAAAAATTGGAGAATATTAGACTCTGGCAGAATAGTATCATATACTGATACTGAAGGATTCTTATGAATAACTGGCAGATTTTCATCAATATTTGACTCTGGAGGATTTTCATTAATAGTTAACTCTGGAAAGTTTGTATTAATTGTTAAATCTGCTGGATTTTCATAAATAGATAACTCTGCTGGACTCTCATCAATAATTAACTTGTGTGGAATTTCGTCAATATTTTGATCGTTGCACTCTTTTTTAATAGAAAAAAATGAATTTTGTTGTTCTTGCTCATTTGATAGTACATTTAAATCTGTTACAGTTAATTGTTGGTTTTGGTCTTCATTATCACTACTTTTAGATATAACTTGATCAAACTGAATAGGAGGTAAACATCCTACCAAATTCACAAAATCAATTGAAGAATCTGTATATCCTATATCTGTCTCAGACATACTAATACGTATAACTGTCCAATGACCATTCAATTTTTTATCTTCATCAAAATGTTTTGATGCCATATGCTTGACTATGTTGTTGTAATAAAGTTGAATATAATAACAAAAGGAACATAAATATCCAAAAACGTATTCACCCCGAATTGGATTTGGAAATATCAAATGTGAAACTCCATCAGTTTTATCATACTCTGGGTGTTCTAAAATATGTTTATCCAAATCATCTTCATTTGAATAAATTTGTTCGCACATCTTACATTTGTACCTGTATTCTCCAGTGTGATCAGTTAAATGATCATAGAACTTAAAATAATCATGGAATATAACTTGACAAAAAACACAGGTAAAGTTAACATTCAAGTTAACATTCACAGATTGAACACAAAAAGGTTTTGAATCTTGGCTATTTAAATATCCGAAATTTTCTTTCAGAGATTGTTGTATTAAAGATTCAGTACAATTCTTGGGTAATCTGGATGGTAAAACTTCTTCCCCGCAATGTTTATCTTTATAATGACGAACAATATTCAATCCTGTACCCTTGTAATTACAAAATTTACATTCCAAAGAATTATCAGCAGTTTGAAAATAAAATGTATTTTCTGTGCCAATTTTAGATGTTATTTCGGTAGATGTTTTATTTTCCAACACATTATTCAACTTAAATTCATCACACAGTACCACCTTCGAATTCCTTCGATTAAACTTCTTAAATTTCTTGTTTCCTTTCTTCTTTTTTTTTTTTAAATTATCCTGTTGCTTATTGGATGTTTTGTTTAAAACTGCAGTTTTTACAACTACTGGTGGTAAAGTTTTGTTTGCCATTGACTTTTTAACTGTATTTTTCTTTGTATTTAATTTAATTGTTGATTTTTTAACTTTCTTTTTTGTGCTTTTTGTTTTTTCTACATTAAGGTTTAACTCGTTTTGATCATCATTTGAATCCAATTCTTCGATATTTGAAGTTTTCTTTTTTTTTGACGTAACTACATTCGTATTTACATAGTCAATTTGTTTATTGGTTCTACATTGTCGTATAATTGGAGCATTTAACACAGCTTTACAATCAAACATTTCACTAATATCAGCATGCAGTTTATCTAATTCTGACGGTCTAGCCTTTTTAAATTCTGGTTTGTTAACATTAAAAGTTGATATATTAGAATTCTGCTCAACTGACTTATTGGAGTTGATTTCATCGACAAATGATTTAGGAATTTCAAGAGGACAAATTAAAACAGTTGGTTGATCTACCATTAAACTAGTAACAGTTTCAGGATTTAATTTTCCTTTTTCATCAAATATATTAACAGATTTTGATCCCTTTCTAACTTTTTTAGTTTCAGATTCAAGTTTGTTTTTAATGTCCAGTTCATTTTGGGAATTACTACGTTCCATTTCCAATTTTTGTCTTGCTAATTTAACACTTAATGGACCCAAAAAAGGTTTCTTAGGTTTTATTTCTTCAGGTACTTCAACATTTATTGATTGACTATTGGTTTGTTTATCATTGCTTGTACTTGAAATATCCGAATTAAAGTTTTCACTTCTTTTAACATTTTTATCAAATTTAGCAATAACAATTTTTAAGTCTTTTAATTCTGGTTTGCATTTATCTTTGCGAATTTCAAAATTGCCATAACTTTCTTTAGATTTTTTACGTTTGATAAATTTTGATTTATGTTGATCAGTTAATGAATTGCAATAAATATTTTCAGAACTAGTATTTCCTTCATTTATTTGGCTATTTTTCTTTTTAGTTCTTACTATATTTTCTACTTGACTAAAATTAGTATCGACTGAAATGTTATCTTTACTTACTTTACCAATATTTTTCTTCATTTTTCTCAGTTTCCTTTTTTCTTTTTTCATTTTTCTTTTGATCTTTTTTTTTCGTCAAGTTGTTCTTTATTTAATACATCTTTTTTTTTTAATTTATCACTATTGGTATTGACATCAGGACTTTCTAACAATTTGGTAAGTTTTTCCAATTTATCATTATCTTGAAATATACTTATCACAGACATAAACTTCGGATTTTTCAATATGTCAATTAAAGCTTTCTGATCAATTGTAGATTTATTATCCGCTGTAGAATTAATTTCATTAGAAGAAACAATATTTTCTTCTTGATTTATACACATGATTTCAGTTGTTGTAGAATTTATAACGCCTGATTGTTCCTTTGATGTAGATGATATAATATTATGTCCAATTTCTTTCTGTACACTAATATCTTCCAAGTTTGGAATTGATTCATTATCAAGGTTCTTACTACATTCACCAGATTCCAATTTTTTATAATTTTTTGCTGTAATGTCTTTTTCTAATTTTGGCTTTGAGTTGCTTACTTTTAAAGTTTTTAAGATTTCTTGTTTTTTCACCACACAACTTCTTGTTCTTGGACCCCATACATCACCATTTAAACTCTTGGCATCTCTTACAATTTTTTCAAATTCTTTTTCTTTGGAATATTTTTTTTGTTTCTTAGGCTTATTTTCTTCTTTACGGTCTATTAAAATGCTATTTTGTTCAGATTTAGAATCAAGTTCATCCTTATTTACCTGACTTGGAATGTTGGTAGTAATTTCTGGACTGCTATCATCTTTTGCTGATTCGGCATTCATTAACATTGTTTTAATTTTTAGATCTTTTTCTGTATTACTATTTTTAGTTATTCCAAGTAGTAAGTCTTTATCCGTGTTACAGTCATTTATTTTAGGGTCTTTTTTGGAATTTTTGCTTTTTTTTATTTCAGTGTTCTGACTATCTACTAAATTGTCTTCTCTGATTGTATCAGCTTTCAAGTGTATTTTGGTATTTTTCTCAGTTTTTAAGACATCTGTGTTATTTTTATTAACTTCAAATGTTTTAGGTTTTGAGTCTTTCTCTGTACTATTGTCATTAAGTTCTTCGTTATGTTTTATTTTGGGTATCTTGAAACTTTTAATATTAGCTGTTTCATTTACAGGTCCAAAAGTATTGTAAGAAGAATCAATGATGTTATTTTTTTCTATTTTATCATGCATTAAGTTACGATGTTGATCATGGTCCTGGTTCATTTGGTTTTTATTCTTTGGCAATCCTTTATTTTGTTCCCTGTACTTGGCTTCTCTATACTCTTTATAATTAGAATGCTGAATTCTGCCAACTGCAGAGTGCGACACCTGAGTCTTGACACTTTTCAATATTCTTGGATCTCTCTTGGATACATCATGACTGTGAGATTTGTATGGCACTGGATCACAATACTTTGTCAATGGCTCAGTATGGGATGGACTAACATGCATTATGGTAGAATTACTGAATTGACCAAAATCATTTCTTTTATCATCATTACGATTATGTTTTTGATATTGTGACAATGGTCTGTTTTTAAATTGAATAGAGCTACCATTATGCTCTGAAGAAAATAGTGGATTTAAGGGTTGAATATATGTATGGCTTGACGAACTTTGACCACCATATACAGATATTTCCTGTGCTCTTGTCTCAAATAATTTGGCATTTGAATTGTCTCTATTTGAAGCATAAGGAGTTGGAAAAGTATATTGCCCATTTGATAATAATGATGCAGGTGGATTAAATGGACTAACATTGTTTTCAGAACTTAATAAAGGTTTGTGCCTTATTCTTGGATCACGAGGGACACTTATGTCAGCCACAGGGGTTTTAATATCAGTGTTTTTCTCATTCGATTTGATAATTGGTCTAAGAGACTCTATATGCAATGATGCACTAACTACTTTTGAATTTTCAAGATCAATTAATGTGCCTGGTTTTAAAGCAGATATAAACTTTGGTTGAATTTGGTTTGACAACCCAGTCTTATGCAATTTATTTATTTCAGTGTTCAATTGTGGACGAATAATGGTAGAAGATTTATTTAATAAAACATTATCATGAGTCCTTTCACTGATATTTGGTTCTATAGTTGATATTAAACTTATGGTTGATGCTCCTAAATCCATAAGATCCGAAGGGGGTAATGGTGGTGGCTGAACAGGTTCCACGAAACTAGCTCTTTGTATACCGTCGATTACTTTTTTCACATAGTTAACATCAATATCATCCATGTTGATATCTTTTAACATATCTTTATAAATAACTGGATCATTATTTTGTTTGATTATTTCATCAAAAATTTGTGTAGTAAGTTCAGTATGAGGGGTAGATGCATCAGACTTATTAAGTTTTTCAATAGAAAGATTGGCTACAAAACCAATCATCTTATTTAGCCTTAGACGACTGTCTGAGAATTCAGGTAGATCATTCTTTGAAAGCACAGGATCAACGATTGAATTTTTGCTACAAGATGACTCACCAATTTTAACAGTTTTAATGTTTTTATTACTAGTAATCTCATTATTTGGTGTCAAATCTTCTAGACAATCCATTTGATTGTTTGCTATTTTTTCATAACTAGTACTTGCTACTGGTATTTTACTAGAAAGTTCAGACTCACTATTTTGGTTTTGATTACTTTCGTTAGATGTATATCTTACTTCTGAGGATCTGCAAAGAAAATACCTTAATCAAAATAAATAATAAATAATATTTTATTTATATGAACAAATTTTGAAATGTATTTACATACAGACAAACAAATAATATATAAAGTATATACGACTTACACATTCTTTTCTTCATCATTTAACTTTGTTTCTTGCATCCAACTAGTTTTAAAATCTGCAGGTAAATACTGTGAAAGTTCAGATGAATAAGTTAAAATATAAACATTATAACTTATATATGTTAAATATAACATAATAATTTTTTAAAGTACATATTATATAAAACAATATTTTATTTAAAAATAAACAAATAAAATGTAATAATGAAAATCTACTGTTTTAAAGCATCATTTAGACTTTATTCAAACAAATAAATAATTATATATTATAACAAAAAACGATGATACTAAATTAAGACTAATAATTACACTTACGTAGTTTAACGGATTACTGTAGTTATCGTATAAATCATAAAATACTTTTTTACAAGTTTTTAGACGATCTGGTGACAACCTAAGAAAAAAAAAATTTATATAAATACAAACAAAATTTCATGTTGGGAAAATAAGGTTAATAATATTATAATATAATATTGTAATAACTAATTGTAATATTAAATTAATTGTTTTAACTCTAAACTCTAAATGATTTATTGATAAATAATTACAATACAAATACAGGTAAACAACAAACAAACAACAATATATTAATGGTTGATAAAAATATTAATATATTTTATTTGTACAACAATAATGAAACATTTTAACACAATGCTTTAGTTTTCGTGTATTTTTTTTTTTTTTTTTGACGTACATAAAAATAATTTCTGGGCATTATATTGAACTATTTTAACAGTAAATAATTCCACTATTATTCTGAAAAAAAGTTTAAAATAATTAAATATAACAACTTCTTAATTTGTTGGAAATAAAAAATAAAAACTGTGTAAACACAACACAGTATTATGTTTTTCCATGCATAAAACTTAAGTCTTTGTTTATTTTGCATAATAATGTCTTAATAATACTCTCATTGTAAGACATAAATGCAGGGCACAGGTACATCAATAATTTAGAATCAAAATACAATAAATATTATATAAATGAGTATTTCAAAGATGTATTATTAAAAAACATGTTTTAGGTTAACTGCATATTCTATAGGTATTAAATAATGGTAATATTGGACCATCTTCTTCAAATGAAATAATACGCTGAATAATATTAAAACCAGTATACATCGAGGTACTTAATACTTCTCTAACATAAAAAATTATTTATTTGTACCAACAAGAAAATAATTACATTAATAAATAAGAGCCAACCCAATGAATTAGTACAAAATACAGTGGTATTTCAGAAAAAAATGTGCAAATATTAGATAGGTGATGTATGAAATTAGCTTCAAATAGTGACTATTAAAGATGCAATTCAAAAATAGTATTTACCATAAATCACAAGATAAATCCAAACCCATTAATAATCTGAAACACCATAATACATTTTTATCTAGGAAACACAAAACTAAAGTCTAAGGTATGTTGCAAAAAATATTAAAATGTTAGCTAATTTAGCAAGTAGATACCTACAAGTATAATGTATAAATTACTGATCATTAATTAGAATTTTTTTGTAATAATTTTAAACAAAGTGATCTGTACCTAATAGCATACATTTAAAAGATAAACTTCAACAAGTGAATAAACCTAATATTTATTAGAGGTTGTTATATTTCAAAATTAAAATTGTACTAAAATACTATACACCACGTATGTTAGCATACAAGAGTATTGTAGGAACAATGGAAACCACTATAAACAAAAATGCCAAATTAAAATCAATTTTGTAAATTAGTTGATTTTTTTTAAGACATTCTAAGTCTCCTTGTCTATTTTTAAATATGTGTTTGTGCCTAACCTAAACCAAAGAAACGAGTCATAATACACCATATTTCAATGCTTAAATTTAGAACCAACCACCCACACATGGATGAGCACTATTCTACAACATGTAACAATATAAAAACAATTGGCATGATATAGGGTTAAGACTCGCAAACCTTTTGGCGTCCACCAGCTCGTACAAATACCGCAACTTGGACACGCGATCGGGTAGAATTTCCAACAGTTGGCTATTGTCGATCACTTGGGTAAGAAACGGCAAGAACGTCTGAAGGTGTGTCAACAGTTTGGCGAAGTAATGTTCGTCTTCTGCGGGCATAATATAAAATGAGAGGTTATACCACCGTTACGGTTAGGTTAGGTTAGAAACACAAAAAACACAGCGAATTACCTTTGAGATCAAGTTCGTCGTTTCGAGGGAGTTGGTTTGAATCCCGGGATGGGTCGTCGGCGTCTCCCATTATTTCGAAAAAAAACGTGCGCAAGTACTAGCACAACCACGGTTCGGTAGCAAATGAACCGGTAATCGACAAACAAAAATGGCGACTGTACTAGTAGGATGTGGGGGGGGGTGACGCAGTTGCGGCGGCGCCAGGTGGATCACCGAAATATCTGGTTCGGACGGTACGACGACAGTACCAGTACCACCATAACATCACGTGGTAACTAATGTTGTCGGAGCCGGAGGAAAACGCTCTAACGATCACATAATACTGTATTCACATTGTAATCGACGACAACACGCGTGGGCTGAGTTCAGATCGTCGGAATGAGACGAAATCGAACGGTTTACGCGAAACAAAAACCGGCGCAACGCTGAGGGGCTCTGCAGTTGAGAGCGGATACATGTACCGAGCGTAGCAAGGAGGCGACGTGACGACGGTCAGGCACAGAACGAACGTACGGCAAAACACTTGAACAACAGACGAAATTCAATGAAAGACTATTCACCGTGGTGGCGTGGTTTGTCGTGTACCCGTGCGTAACACTGTGGTGTAGCCGTGTAGGTTCGTGCTGCGTACCGCGAACGTCGAGCGGAGACTACGGTCTACGATTGACCCGACGATGGTGCACGGGGTGCGGTGTGGTGTCTGTCGCCGCGCGCCGTCCGAACGTTATAAGCGCTATAGTACGGTTTTTGCCACAGTACTGCGGTGATTGTGGGGAGGAGGGGATTGGCGCGTCCGCCCTCCGCACCATCAATGTCCGACGTTACTACGTTAGTCAGCAGTCTTCCGAATTCGTTCGGCTCGTCGCCACGTTGTTGTGAATCGTTGTTCTATATACTACTATATATGTATCAATGACAAAAAATCGGTTTCGACGAAGTTTCTCAGGTTGGTTTTGACAGTCGTCCGACCGCGTTGGGCGCCTTTGTCATCATCGTTTCCCGCGTCTTTTCTACAGTGCTGTCCGCGACGCGATAACACTGCGGCGGCTCAAAGATCCATTAAAGCGCTGCAGCTGCCTGCGAACATCATTGATTCTTGTTTACGGGATCGTTATTAGCTTCGTCACGTTACCAATCGGTTTCCGGTATTTTCTCTGTTTGCGATAACACTGACTGACTAATGACGACGGCGATTAACTATTTCGTGTCTACACTCTACAGTTCTACACACATTGTGCAATAAATGAATAAACGTTACCAATGTTATTGTATACAATATTTTGCGTCGTTTTTTATTATTATTATTATTATTATTGTTATTATATTTTAATCACTATGCACGAATTCACTGTTTTTTTTTTTTTTGAACAACAGATGAACAGACGAATAATATCGTTTATTTATGAAAAAAATGTACACGAATACGGTGGATGGCGGGTAGGTTGCTACGCGTTTGTAGTTGTTTGTACGTGCCGCTACGACCTGCGATAACTATAATTACTCGGGCAAATGTAAACAACGGATTGGCGAGTTGTACGTCGTAGAAAAGCTCTCCGGGCAGAAGCGAATAGTTTTTCCTTTTTCAATAATTCGACAACGAACGGCGTCGACGCGATTCGATTTCGTTTGAGGACGTGGCGGCTCTGCCGTGAGAGTTCTCAACGCGTAAGGACCTACGTCCGTTGTGACGACTAGCAATGTTCCTTTCTACGACGACCTCCGATCGTTATGTTCCGTCGGGACGTGTAATTCGCGACCACGAAACACTAAAAACAACTTATTGCGAGAATTACCGAAAGCAACATCAAATAACACTTAATCTGAGAACTCGGTAGATCAATTCGTCGATCATACTGCTACCTGTTAATAATTATCACCACCGACATACGGGCCCGTGATACAATATCGTTTGGTTTGAACAAAAATTTAAAATGTTTAACTTCGTCAAAACTAGTGTAATGAGTCGATTAAATGCAGCAACCGTAGAATAGGAACATGACAGGAGCAACTTACTACCGTACCGATAATATTATATTATACCAATGTGACAGTGACCACTCACGTTGTTCGAGATTTTCAAGGAAGAAATTGGAGTGTAGTATCACTGGTAGGATTTTATTGTAGGTAGGTTTCGAAGTATTCTAAGTACCTAATTCAAGATCAAGACCTAGGCACTAAAACTAATGCGTGGAACACAGAGATCGCGATAACTGTACGTTACTATAAGTGCGTTTCATATAGTTTTCACTTTTCCTACCTTTTCTACGGACAAAGAGGACATGTTTTTATTTTATGTTCGACACATTATTAGAAACACCGTGGTTACTCGTGTTTCGTACCTATTATAGTTAAATTCCATGCAGAGCTTAGCGTTGTTTATTTCTCAGTAGAAATTGCAAAATCATTTTGTACACAACGGTCGTCAATGTATTATCATTTATAATACACTAACACCTATTGTGTGTTCAACGATAAAGGTAACAAAAAAATTTTTCGAGCGCATAACCCTGAATTTTGTTCGTGTGTTTTACTACATAAAGGGCTTAATATTAAACTTATTTTTGAGGAATTTCTCAAATTTCATTTGAGCCGTCTATCATTTGATAACACATTCCACTCAATATCTCATCTTGTGACTTACGTCGTTTCTCAAATAGATAGTTCAAATGTAAACATAGAAAAAATTGTTTTGAACGGAAAAGTACCGAGAAGGTTATGACTTATAACCAAGAAACGAAATTTTCACTACTCAAAAAAGAAAACTGGCTGTGAAATATCGTTTTCATTTTTTCGATATCGGAATTACAAAAAAAGTTATCCATGTTTGAAAAACACAAAAATAATGGATCTTGAAACAATAACAACATTTTCGTATAAGTGATATCAAAAAAGTAAGAATGATAGTTAACAAATAATATTCTCGACTGTATTGTATACAAATTTGGAGTCTTAAGAGGACGCTACACTGACATTTGTATTTTGTTGACTCCGTCGTACAAGCTCAAATTTTACACTCGGCAGAGCACGTTTAGCTTCGTAAGTTCAAAAAATGAGTAAGTGGATGTCACTCTGCTGTACAGTAGATTACGAGTGGGTCGCTGTAGCAAATGGTGCTAAATTTGAAATCAATTATATTTAAATTACGACAAAGTAACTTAAATCATTACTCTTGGTTATTTAATATGTAATTTCGTCAACATTTGAACACAGAACAACTATAAAAACAAATTGTGCCCATGTATTTTGAATACTTTTCAAATGCTGTTGTTACAATATACCAGGAACCTTGTATTACATTTTCAAGCTTTTTGACCCTACGAAAAAAATGTTATTGACGTTTACAGAATAAAAACCGAAAATGTCAGTAAACAGCTCAAGATGAGTCAAAATATTTTTCAAGTATAGGAAATGATAAAACAAATATTTTGTGTACATTTCATGGATCTACGATTATTCGTTATTCAATTACAACAAAATAAAAAAAATTGTTCCATAAGAAATCGAGTGAATATCCAAAGTTGTAAAAATTTCAAGGTTAGGTTAGGTTAGATTAAAATAATATTAAATACTGAATTTGACTTTCTAGTAGACCTGTTTTTTGATTAAGACAGACAAACTTATGAGGAATTTTCAATTAAATTTTTAAATCTTAAATATAAAAAGAAAAATATATGTGAATTTCTAACTTAAAATAATTTGCAAATTTTGGTGATTTTTACATATTTTGTCAAAATTTAAAATTCAAACCTCATAAAAAAATAATGCGAATTTACGAAAACAACTAACGAGGGATCTTAAATAACATTTTCAAATTTTTTGACAGGGTCAATGTTCTTATCGACATTAATTTTAAAAAAACTAACAATAATCGAAAATATCTTATACCTATATTAATAGCTGAACATAATTCAAATTATTTTGAAATTGTTGATGGTGTAAAGAAAATACTAATATATACATTCAGTGAGAGTTTTATGTATAAACGGCCATTTGCTTTAGAATTACTCTAAAAATCAAAATCGATTTTGCGTAAAAATTCCAGTTTTTTTAAAAAAAATTGTTTGTTTTTCCTGGCGCTTATGAAAAATATTGGAGATTATTACATTTTGAACTCCCGGTTGTACCACTTAGATTTACTTTCCCACCGGAAAAGGTAATGAAGTTGAAAATCGAAGCATTATTTCGATAACTTATCACGTACGCAGACATGAAATCAATATATTATTCATCGCTTCGCTCAGAATGTAAAATTTGAGTAAATTGACCTCTTATAAAATGTAACGATTAGATTATTATCTAGGGCATCTCTTAGGCTTTTTATTATATTTTAATTTTAAAGCGAGTTATGAATATTTTAAAATTATAAATTGTTTGTACATCTTAAATTACTAGTTCCTAATTCGCTTTAAAATTGAAATATAATAAAAACCCTATGCGATGCCCTAGTTAATAATGTTACTTTAAAATTTTATAACTGGTCAATTCAATCTAATTTTTTAACCAACGGAGCTAAACGTAATCTGCAGAGCATACAATTTGGCATGTTACGCGCTTGCAAGACGCAGATAACAAGTGTCAGTGTAGCGTTCTCTTAACTATCACTGCAGCCAGAGTGGTTCTATCCTGCACAAAATAGTTTTTGCTATTTTGTACACATTTTGTTTGTTTTTTTTTTTTTTTAGCCTTCAGTCAAATACTATTATGGCTCAACAATTACAATATCATATGGTATATAAATTAATGAAGTTATAGTTAGACAAAAATTAAAGTATACAATGGATAGATAACAAATTATATAGGTATATAATAAATACTAAGTATTATAGATAATTAAAATGTAGATAAAATAGTTTAATATACAATGAAAAGATAATTAGGAGAAATATAAAAACAAGACCCAATCACTACGGACAGATACGCTTGTTAACGAATACACATTTTGTTACACGGAGACAACGCATGCGGGTGTACTGTTCTCTTAATAATGATATTTTGAATTATCAGTGAAACATTAGAAAAAAATAGTTTAGTGTAGAAAACCGATACTTCAAAGCCTCTAAAATATCATTCTTTATGATTTTTGCAATAGATGGTTTTACTCTAGGATTACTCAAAAAACGATAATGAACATACCTGTAATGTGTGGGTCTGTAGAGAAATCAATTATTGAGCTGATATCCTTTGTTTAACTCCGTTCCTTATAAAATTTTCCGGAGATGCTGTTAAATATGAATGTACCTATGTGGCTTACAGATTTTAATAAAAAAATGTATAATGACCCCGTCCCTCCTAAAAAAATCCTAATTCGCCACGGACACTCAAGCGGATGTTATTACCAAAAGCAGTGCTACCCTTCATCATAAACCATGGAGTATATATGTAGTGTTTTGCGTACACTGAACAGTGTTATTTATGTAAAATATCTTTCCCACCAAGATCACATTTCACGAATCACGGTTACACGACATGATTAATACCTAAGCATTCCCAGAATTAGTTATCAGGTATGAGTTCGGTGTTATCAGTATTCGTATACAACCAGCCACCAGCTGATTCTGAGCACGCACATTAGTGACGCGTATCGTGAAATGTTGAAAGTAGTGGGGATAATGTCGGGCATTTTAATAATTAATATTATTCTGTTATTAGGCACGATCACAATCAAAAGTAAATCCATGGATATGGGTAATTCACGCGATGTAGAGAAGATCAGCCATGAAGTGTGACAACAACCCACAAAAAACTGGAGGTCATTTTCACAACAGCCCTTCAGCTGGAATAAATGCCACCGGGAGTACCACAGTACTCGAAGTCATACTATTTAGTTTTTATACAAAAGCAGTACAATATAATACACCTTTAGACGTAATAAAATCCTTTAAAGCAGGGGTGTCCAACCTTTTGTGTAGACTGGGCCACATCATATAGGTAGAAGTTATACATTCAAATTTAATGATTAAATTATATTCTATAATACAACAATACAACAATACATATTTTTATAATTTTACAATAGCGAATAATAAGCAGAAATATTTTTTCTAGTATTAATATTTAATTATAAGTACACAGAAAAAAAATATTTATTTATAATGAAAAAAAAGTTTTAGTTTAAAAAAGTTAAAAGTCATTAGTTTTATTTAATGTGAACTTTGAAAATGCTTTTTTCGTGAAAGTAATGAATCGAATCAATATCTGGATCGATTGAAGTTGTGGCAACGGTAAAAACACGGATGTGTGCATCGGCCTTTACAGTTTATTTGATGTTTTATATTCTTAAAATAAATTTATT